GGATCTGTACACCGATAAGGATGAAGGCTGCGGCTACTGTAGATTATCGGCGAGAGAGCAGATTCTGACGGAGATGAAGCGGTTGCTGGAGAAGTACGGCGGCGAGGAGGTGAGTATCACGATCACCGGCCATAGTTTGGGGAGCGCTTTAGCGGTGTTGAGCGCTTATGATATCGCGGAAACGGGTCTGACCCGAATGGGAGATGGGCGGGTCGTACCCGTTTGCGTTTTCTCGTTTTCGGGGCCCCGAGTTGGGAATGTTTCGTTCAAGGAACGACTTGAAGGACTAGGAGTGAAGGTAATCAAGCTAATAAAAGAAAAGTAAAATTAAAAATAGGTTTCAACATTTTCAATTTAACTAAAATAAGATAGGTTTTTAATTGAAAAATATACCTCTAAAATTGGATTAAAATTTTGATTGATGTTTTTGTTTTTTATTTTTTAAAATTATATTTGTTTATTTATACATTTGAATTATTATCTAAAATTTTAAAAACAAAAATAAGTTTTTAAAAAACTATCTCTTTTGGTTTTCGAATTTTGACTTAGGTTTTAAAAACGCCTTTAAAATGTAGATAGTAAAATGAAAAATACATGGATAAAATTAGTATTTATAAACTTAATCTTCCAGAGTCAAAAATCAAATTATAAGAGATTATTAGGTTAAATTATAAATTTAGTCTCCAAATAAATATTTAAACCTGATCTAATTTAAGGAATGAAATTATGAATTATGATAAAAATGAACAGGTATTGAGGGTGGTAAATGTTCATGACGTGGTACCAAAATCACCAGGATTTATATTCAACGAAGGCATACCAAGGATGGTGATGAAGATCGCAGAGGAATTACCGTGGAGTTATTCACACGTGGGCGTAGAGTTGAAACTCGATCACAAAATTTCACCCTTCCTAAAGCAAACAAACGACCCCGTTTGTGCCCATAATTTGGAAGCTCATTTACATTTACTTGACGGGTAACTTTCCTATCTCTTTTCTTTTCATTTATTTACGTTTAAATATTATTTTGATTTTTATATATTTTAGCTCGATTTATTTGAGTTAATATTATGTTTTTGTTTGTTTTAGTTCACGTACTTTTTAAATTTTTTAACAATAACTGTTTTTTATTATAGATCATTTTCTGAAATGTAGTTATAAATTTATACTAAAATATTTTTATTTTATATAAAAATTTGTGCTATATCTTTTAGATAAAAACGGTCATTTTTTGAAAATACAGGAATTAAAATGAACAAAAGTTAAAAGTATATATGACCCTAGAATGTTTGAAAAGTAGAGAAGAAGAAAAAGAAAAAAAAGAACAAAGACAAAACTACACTCAAAATAGTATTTAAACTATTTCTTTTTTACCTCTTACTTTATTTTGATTTTAAGTTCTCTCTTATTTGATCTTAAAATGCATAGATAGGTAAAAAAAAAAAAAAGGTTTTCATTACATACATTGCTTTTTAAGTGTAACTTATTTATTTATTAATATATATTTTTTTACTTTGGAATGTATCTTTGATGCATAATCTTTGCATAAAAGTTTAAAGAATGGTTGATCAATTATAAATTTAATTTCTAAGTATTGATATAGTTATGTTTATGGAATCCTTTTGATTAGATTAGCAGGAGATTGATTTAACACGACACGACACAACAAAGTAGAATGACAAATAAAATAAGAGTCGGAGATAATTTTATATTAAATTTAACAAAATACTCTTAAATTTAGAAATATGAATGGTATGCGAGTGTATACTTCAAAGAATTAAGTCATAATTTATGAACCAAAACAAAGTATAAAAATTAAAGTTGAATAAATCCAAAAATTAATAAATAATGAATTTAATAAAAATATAATAAAATTAAGATATCATCACAGACAACTATGCATGACAATGACATAATATAATAATAGGGAAGTAGGTTGGATAGCGTATTAAGTGAAATAAAAATATGAAAATCTTTGCTTCTTATCAGCGATCATGAAATTTTTTCCTTACCACTGTTGAAATATTAAAAAATTATTAATTTAAAAAAAAATATTTATTTTTACATTTCTCTATTGTTAAACATTAGTGGTGAAAATAGATGAGGAGGTAAGTATTTTCCTATTGCAATAACTCATGCAAAACATAATTTGAGGAGAGATTTATTTTAATATTAAAAGGTATAAAGAATATTATCTTTTAGAGAAATCTAGTCTTGCTCGCATTTCGAGATTGTTAGATTGGACAAAGAATATAATATTAACAAAAATAAAAAAATTGGGTATTTATCTTTTCGGTCGCGGTCATTGAAAACTATTATCAGGTTTGAGCATACTTGTGACTTGATAATAGTTATCCATATCCACGACTAAGAAAAGTGAAAAAGGGGTTGGACCCCTGACTCAGTTGTGTTGGATAATTTGTTATTTGGCCTTTATATTTGATCGAAAATGTGGAGTTCTATACCTTTGAAATATTATTTATTTATAATAATAATTTTTATATAATCATATATAATAAATAATATTATTAAACTCAATAGGCTTAATCCAAACAAAAAAGTATTTTCTTTTAGGGAAAAAAAAATAAAAACAAAACAAAGGCTAACTTTTCAAATTAAAGAAGATGGATGGAGAGACTAAGGTAGAGTTTCTTGTAATTTATTTTATGATGTATTTTTATTATGATTTTGTGGCGGTGAGCATGATTAGAAAAAATATATAATATTATGTTAGGTTCTTTTTTTTTTTAATTGTATGCATTTTCCCTGTTAAAAAATTATTGGAATGAAAATGATTGCTTCATTAAAATATTTTAATTATTTTTAAATAATTTTAAAATATTTATTAAAATATTAAGATTGATTATTCAAATAATATATTATATTATGTTTAAAAAAAAATTCACCGCGGTAGCTGCTCCCTCTCATCTCGATTACGTCCTCTTTGACTTGAGTATCCTGGAGCAAAATCAGATATACTTTTTCTTGGATTTAATGAAGTCCGAGACAGCCCTTTGGGAAGCTCGTCCATTCAAAGCAAACCTGTTGTCCATTATACTTAGTTTTAAAAGTCAAATTATCATATCATTAAAAATGATGGATATATCATATGCGTGGGAACGTTTTTTTTGGTATCTAATAGATTTATAATATATAAAATATTTTTATTTCTTAATTTTTTTAAGATTCAAGATTTATTAGATACAAAATTCAACTTTTATCTAAATAGGTTATTTGACTTTCTAATTTTGTGTCTAATAAGTTTTAAATTTTAAAAAATGTATAATACCTTTGGTACTTTTCAATTTTGTGTCTAATAAGTCTTTAAATTTTGAAAAATGTATAATATGTCTTAAATTGAAAATTTAGGGACCTATTAGACACTACATTTAAAGTTTAGGGATCAATTGCACAAACTTTGAGAGTTTAAGGACTAAATTTGTAACTTTACCGGATATAAATTTTATTTTAGTCTACATGAACTTTCAGAAACTACTTTATTTTTTGTTTAATAGGTCCTTAAATTTTGAAAAATGTCTAATAAGTTCTTAAGGTGAAAGTTTAGGGACCTATTACACAAACTTTGAAAGTTTAAGGACTAAATTTGTAACAAAACGAGGTATAAATTTTTTTTTGTCTATGAACTTTGAAAACCTACTTTATTTGTGTCTAATAGGTCCTTACATTTTGAAAATTTTCTAATAAGTTCTTATTTGAAAGAATTTATTAGAAATAACATTCAAAGTTTAGGGACTTGTTACACAAACTCTAAAGGTTCAATGACTAAACTTGTAATTTAACAATGTATAAATTTTATTTTAGTCTATTGAACGTTCAAAAAGTACTTTCCTATTTGTTAATGCAGAAATTTGGCTTCTTGGGATCCGGCAAAATTCGCACCAACAAATACGAAAGTACTTTTTGAAAGTTCATAGACTAAAATAAAATTTATACATCAAAATAACCCTAAGACCGGTGTGGCTCCTACCATACGGGCTCAGATGCTTAAGTTAGTATCAAAGTAGTCGAAAGTAGAGAGTAGGGTATTTAGGCATACCTTTAGGGTTTGGTTCACCATCTTATTTATAGAAGTCAAATCCTAGTCCTTTTAGGAATTATGGAAGTCGAATCTCAATCCCTTTAAGATTTACATAAATCCAACCCTAGTGTGCTTAGGAGATTTGGACTCCTAGACCCATGCGTTTCGTCGCGGGCCTAATGAATCGGGGGTCGAAATAAGATAGGTTCGGGTTGGGCAACACAAAGATCGAGAGAGAAACAAAGGAGGTTCTCGGCCAATGGTCGAGGTCACCTCGACGCCGACCACTGGCCAGTTGTGGTCAGCCCGGGTGGACTCGATCGACAGGCTTCGGTGCTTGCCCGGTTCGTGTGCCTGAATCTCCCTCAAGTCGTTTGGTCTGTTCTTCTTTTATCTTCCCAAAATAGTAGCTCCAGTCTCAAAATAATAGAAGGCAAAAGCATGTTAAGGCTTATATATTGAGAATACATGTTGCTTGGTGTGGATGACTATTTTGTGGAATAGTCCTCTTTTCGATTGCTATTAGTTGGGCTGGCTTTAGTAGTCCCCATTCTCTTTGTTGTAGTTAGCTACAATCAAGTTTCCTGGTTTTGCTATATGATTAGTTTTAACCGTCAGATTTTGGTCTTGGGATCTAACTTTTGGTAGGCCAATGATACTTCTTTTGGGTTTTTGATCTATTTGGCTTTTGTTCATGATTTTATACCCCAGAGTTTACTCTCGGGTTTCAAACTTATTTGGCTTTCGCCAATGGTTTTATACCCTGAATTTAGTTGGGACCCTTGAGTTTCTAACATATTTGGTGTCTGTCGGTTTTTTACTCTGAGTTTAATCAATACTCTTGGTTTCTAACTTATTTTGGCTTTTGCCAAATAGTTTTATACCCTGAGTTTCGTTGATTGGTTTGACATGCCTGCTTTTGTTTTAACCTTGCCGGGCCTGTACGCATGTCTCTCAGCAACTTTGAATTTCTTCCTCAGTTTCACTGGCTTTTTAGCTTATCGGCCTGCTTCTAGGTTTGCCCCAATTCGAACTCTTTGACCAGCTGTTGATTAGCTTACCATGCCCCAACTTGAGGAGTTTTCATTTAGGATAAAAGATGAATGCTCAAGTAATTAATTAAACTTCACATGCTATGATTAGCCAAAAGCAAGTAAATATTCTCTGAAACATAGGATCAAATATAATTTGAAACGAAGTAAACGATAGCAATTATAAAAAGTTATACCTAAACTTATTAAATTATTAACCAGGTAAAAACGAGAGAAATTAGATATTGTCCTGTAATGTATGTTTGCCAGGCATCTCCGCGATATTCGTTGCTCTCTTCTAATTCTTGCTCGAACGAGACTGTTGTTGGAGGATATTTCTTCAGAGGGCCTCGTTGATCTGATTGGTATTGAGTTTTGTCAATATCTCGTTTTGAATGGAGTAGCTTTTCTTTGCTCGTATATTTTTTAGCTTAACTTAATGCTTTTGAGAAAGTTGATGGGCTATTTTTCCAAGGGAGAACAATAGTTCTTCATCCTTTACCCCAGATATGAAAGCGAGTAGCGATGTTTCGCCAATAAGATATTTGACTAGTAGTTTTTCTTCGTCGAAGTGAGCCACATATTCTCCAAGGCTCCCCGTTGATTTCTGTTTCACAATAAGGAGGTAGGTCACAAGTTGACTCCTATTCAGCCTTTCGATGAATTGTATGATAAATGCCATGGCCAGTTCTCTGAAGGAAAAGATTGACTTTCTTCTCAATTGTTGAAACCATATGTGGGTTATGCCGGTTAACGTGAAAGAGAATACCGTGCACCTGATTGCTTCTGTTATTCTGTAGAGGTACATCCATTCCTTATATGTGCACAAGTGGTCGATAGGATCTGTTGAGCCGTCATATTGCTTTATAGTAGGGAGTTTGAACTTTGGAGGGATTTTTCCTTTCATTATCTCGTCCGCGAATGGCAAATATGCCTGATCTACGGTGTCTTCGAGATTGTACCCCCTATTTTTTCGTTTTCCATACATCTCTACGATTCCTCTGCATGCTCATGCTGTCTTAGTGATTTTTCTTTGTTGGTCGAGGTGTTCTCGAGGCTTGGTTGGGTTTTTCGTCCATTGCTGCGTGTCGCTAACTTCTACGGTTTCGTCATTACCAGATCCTGTACGTTAAGAGTATCGTTCTGTTGTTTGTTGTTGCCTCAAATTATTCGTTTACTTTGTGCTAAAGGATTCTTTGTTGATTTTTCTACATCTTCAATAGCAAGAGCTTTGCCTTTCCGCGGATCCCGGATGAGTGTAGGTAGCCTCTCTTCTTGTTGCTCAAGTCTTTTGAGAAGGAGAGATATGCTTTGATGCATTCCTGCGACCTTCTCTTCTAAAGCGGCTCATCTGCTCTTGTGCTATTTGAGATTTTCAATTAGTCGCTCTTCCTGTCTTATGATATGTCGTCTTGCGTCACCCAAGACCTGCTTAGGATGCTGTCGACTTGTTTCACCCTCGACTGTCTTGAGTAAAGGCAGCCCCTGAGTCGTGTGACTTTCGTCGTCAGCATGTTGTGGTCTACTTCCAGAATTCATGTCGATTTGTTTCTCCCAAAAAAGCTAGTTTGAAGATCTCCTCGGATCCGAGCAATTCTCTGTCAATTCGTAGTCAATTGTTTTGACGTTTAGATCTTAATCGTCCCCACAGACGGCGCCAATTGTTGATGCAGAAATTTGACCTCATGGGATTCCACCAAACTCGAACCAATCTTATAGAATAAAAGGGATCTTCATGACTTGCAAAACCAAAATAACCCTAGAGTCACACCAACATCGATGCTTAAGTTAGTATCGAAGTAGTCTAGGGTAGAGATTAGGGTATTTAGGCGTACCTTTAGGGTTTGGTTCCCCTCTTATTTATAGAAGTCAAATCCTAGTCCTTTAGAAATTATGGAAGTCGAATCCCAATCCCTTTAACATTTACATAAGTCGAACCTTAGTGTGCTTAGGAGATCTGGATTCCTGGGCCCATATGTTTCGCCGCGAGCCTAATGTCGAATCAGGGGTCGAAATAAGATAGATTCGGGTTGGGTGGCACAAAGGTCGAGAGAGAATTAAAGGAGGTTCTCGGCCAATGGCCGAGAACACCTTGACGCCGAGAAAGTCTCGGCGCTGAGGCCTGGTCGGTGCCAACCACTGGCCAGCTGTGGTCAATAGGCTTTGGTGCTTGCCCAGTTCGTGCGCCCGAATCTCCCTCCTGTCATTTGATCCGTTCTTCTTTTATCTTCCCTAACAGTATTCAAGTTTTCAGAAAAGTTCATTTTATATAAAGTTTTAGGTGGATTCTATTTTGGTGGTTGAACTTTAAAAATGTCTATTTTAGTATCTAAACTTAAAAATATATAAAAGTATATTTATTATGGTGCTTATATTTATTTAGCTTTTGGCAAGTATTGAGTGAACATATGTTAGGTGGCAAAATATTAGTAATAATATATAATTGATAAATATATTATTAACTTTGAAAAAAAAAAGTAGTAATGACAAAATTGATTTTTTTAATATAAAATTTAGAAATTAAAATAATTTTGTATTTTTTTAAGAAAAATATTAAAATAAATGTATTTTTCAAAGTATAAGGACAAAAATGAAAATTGTTTGAAAGTTTAAACACAAATAATAATAATATTATTATTTATTATTATTACTACTACAATTTTAAGAACCAAAATAAAAGAATTTTAAAAGTTGAGAGACTCTAATAATATTTCTTTTTACACGTTTATAAATTAAAATAGATATTTTAAAAAGCATAAGGATGGAAAATAAAAGCATCTTCCATTAAAATGAGGTCTAAAACTTACTATCAAACATATAAAATGCAATTATGAGGGCATTTAACCTAAATTATATAGTAGATGTAGGATGATTGAGTTTGGTATAAACTTGGGAAAAATTGTTCTTAACTTAAAAAAAAAAAATTGTATGGTGTTTGAAATATTTAAAAAAATTGTATATAAAAGTAATTGGGTGGAACAGATACCATGGGAAGGGCGGTAGGTTCGTGCTGGCGAGCGGGAGGGATCCGGCGCTGGTGAACAAGGCTTGTGATTTTCTTAAGGATCATTACTTGGTCCCACCAAATTGGAGGCAAGATGAAAATAAAGGTATGATAAGGAACAAGGATGGCCGTTGGATCCAGCCTGATCGATCCAAATTTGACGATGATCATCCTCAAGCATTTACCCTCACATTTTGACTCTTAAATCCTAAAATTCTTTCCAATTTTTTAAATTGACTTTGTTTTGTGGGTTTTAAATTGAGTGTTTGTGGAATTAAAATATAATTTTTTTTTTCTTTGGCATCTTTTTAGGGAGTAAATATCATGAACCTGAGTTTTTTAGCATTCCCTCGAGGGTATTATCTCTTTACATTTTTATCATATATATATATATATTTTTAAATGTATACATAAAATATCAATTTTCTTTATTTTAAATGGTACTAGTATTAAAAAAAAGTTTTCAAATATCTTTTTTAGAATGTTTGCCTTTTCTTTACAGTCGGTCGTTGTTGCAGAGCCTTTCAAGACCGTCGAGCTCCAACCGATTAAAAAAAACTGATAAGTTGTTGGTCAGCATCAATTTTTAAGCTCAAAATCGACGTGAGACCGATCCATGACTACCTCTAATTAAAACTGATGCAGCACATTTATGCATATATGGTAAATCAAAATGGATAACAGAGGATCGTTCAAGATGATATGTGGTTTTAGACAAATTTTTTTTATAGAGTCTTAATCTATAGAATATATTATTTAAAATTTTAATGTTCTATTCTTCTATATTAATATAATAAAGTAGCAAAATACTCACCTATAGTTTAAGCCGACCTTGAGATAATAGATAGATTTTTATTATTTGTGTCACAACAAATTTTAGTTACTACTAACTAATAAATTTGATTTGTGAATAAGAGTTTAGTTGATTGTTAATTGGCAACTTTCTCTGGTCAAGGGATAATAAGTTGTCAAAGCGAGCATAACTCAGAGCGGCAGTTGGCATATATTTCCAATCAATCTCCTCCCCAACATGTTGTACTAAAAAAAATTCCAACGCATTTCTATTACTAAACATATGGAATTTCGAACTTCTAAATGTATATATTGAGTATTTCAAGAAATCTTTGATGAGTTTTTAGGATGAGTAGCTTTTTAAGAGCCCACTTTGAAATATGTTTACACCGTTTTCTAAACATTTGTTTGACATCGTTGAATGACCATTACTATCCCACTTTGAGTTAAATTTTTACTTTCCTATTTTTTTTTTCTTTTCATTTCTTGTTCTCTCTTTTCAGACTTTTCTCTTTCTCGTGAGACATAACAAAATCAGTTTTCCAGATTTTTAGGTTTCTCTCCTTCTCTCTTCTTCTCTCTTTTTCAAATTTTACAAATATTTATGGATTTTAAACTTTTCCCCTTTCATTGGAATTTTACGAAAACTTTCTTTCTCTCTCTTCAAATTTTCCCAAAATTAAAATGTACACTTTTTCTCTTCTCTCTCTCCCTCTCTCCTCTGTTTCACATTTTTTATGCATGAATCAAAGATTTTTTTTTTAATATTCGTTGACCAACGAAATAGATGGATTGTGTACATGAGAAAGTTCACTTTTTTTTTTTTTCTCTTCAAGAAAATCAAGAACGGGAGCTTTGGTGTGGGAGAAAATCAAAGCGAAATTGAAGGAGAGAAGAGAGAGAAAGAGAGAGAGAAGAGAGAGGGGAGAGAAAAGAGAGAGAAAAGCGAGAGCGGAGAGAAAAGATGGAGAAAAGCGAGATGGAGACCAAGAAGAGAGAGAAAAGAATTCCCAATTTTTTTAAATTCGGTTATGAATGCGTTTTCCATTTTTAGTTTACAAATTACAAAATAAATAAATTTTGAAACAATTTGACCAAATTTAAGTTCGAAATATTGGCAAATAATCAAGATCCATGGATTAAAAATTTTATTCAAATTTAAAATTTAACATCTTTTTAATCTCATCCAAAACTTTTTTTTTTCTCTCTCATCTATCATTCTCTCTACAATTAATTTATTCTCTCTCGTAATTTATTTTAATAGTAAATTTTCAAATCAATAATTAACAAAAAATAAAAATTAAATATTAATGGTGTTTCAAATCTATTAAAACAGAATTCAAAAAATCGGGATTCCTTTTATCTCTCAGTCTCGATTCAAATCTATTAAAAATATATTTCAAAAAATCAAGATTCATTTTATCTCTCTTCTCGATCTCACTTCTCTATCTCTTTTCTCGCTCATTCTCTCTCTTTGGTCAACAGACATTCAAAAAGAAAATCGTTGATTCATGCAAAAACGAAAAAAAAAAAGTGAAACAAAGAGGGAGGGAAAGAGGGAAGAATATGTACATTTTAATTTTGGGAAAATTTGAAGAGAGAAAGCAAGTTTAAAATTTGTAAAATTCGGTAAATTTTGTGGGGGGTTTGAAATCCATAAATATCTGAAAAATCTAAAAAGAGAGAAGAGAGAGGGGGAGGAAAACCTAAAAATTTGATATTGTTATGTTTTACCAGGAGAAAACTCTGAAAAGAGAGAACAAGAAAGATTGGGAATAGAGGGAAGGAAACATGAAGAGAGATGAGGGAGGGAGAGGAAGATGAAAATGGGGAAGAAAGAGAAGGAGAAGAGAGAAAGTGAATGATTCGAATGAAAAAAAGAGGGAAAGTAAAAATTTACCTCCCAGATATCGAGGGTAGTAATGGTCATTTGGTATTTGGGAGTGGGGACATATTTCAAACTGAGTCCGCTACTCAACCCAAAAACCCTAGATATATATCTCAAAAAAAGGACTCCGAGAAATATCTCAGCCTTTTTAGGCTCCAAAGAATTCAAAGTAATTCTTTAGATATGGTTAGATTTCTAAAAGAAATATGGTAAGAGGCATCACAGGAGAAATATTAGCTTTTAAATTAAGAATTGTCCTCAATTCTTGTACAGCATCAGAGATTTGTCAAAAATGAGAATCAATTTTCTCAACGAACTGTTTTGTTTACAACATGTCTTATAAACAGAAACACCCACCATCCAATTTCCAAATAATGAAAAATGTAAAGAGAACCAATAAGATAATTATTCGATGGTTCAATCTGTGCTGCTCAAAATGCCACTCAAAAATGTACAAAAGGCATAATCACAACATATAGAATTCATCATTCTTCAACATGCAATCTTTGTGTATTGGCATGCTCGGAAAGTTATTTTCCTAAAGTTTCTGAAGCTCATGTATACGATGTCCGTTGGGAGCTGTTCCCTTATGTAACATGAAGTCAACCTGCCAAAAACGAGGCGCCGAGCTTTCTATCAAGAAAAAATAAGAATACTAATTCGTTGGTGCAAATAATGAAATACCGTGAGCGGAAGGAAATTTAACACACCCCAAAAGGAAAAAGGCTAAAGACAACTAGCCGATGACCTACATCCATTCGTACAAACTTTAGAGGAAGATTGTACCATTTGGAAAAGGGATGAAGAGGACTTGAACATCTACGCTTATGGAGTCTCGTGTGTCTTCCTTCCACCACCAAGGCAACATGTATTCTAGTAATGTAATGTAGTTGGACTCTCATGTCGACCTAAGCGGCTGGTAACTTCCATGTATATATATATATATATATATATAGTTTACATTCTCTTGGATATTCATACCTAAGAATAGGTGTGGGGTCAGATCAGTCCTGGCTCAAATTAGGTGGTGTGCAAAAGAACTGGATGACAGCTTGAAATTTCAAAATACCTAATTCCCTATACCAACCTAAGATGAAGACTGTTTTCTAACACTAACATATTGAGGCTGCCAATGGTGAGAGAATTTTGAATATACATCATTCGGATTCTTTCTCGGTATTGGTACTGGCACTATTCTTTAACCAGAAAGAGTTTGAAGGAGCTCATCAGCAAAGGATCTCTAGAAATTTGGGAAGGTAAGTACTAAGTACCACAAAAAGGTTATAAGTCTTTTATGTGGACAACTTGTCTTCATGGCCTCAACATGATCAGTGACTTCATAGTCACTTTTGAGCACACAATAGAGCTATTCTGTAGCTTTTGTGGGAGGAGAGTCCGAAAGATTTTTGGAGATAAGACTTCTTCTTTTGATTCTTTTTGTAATGGTGTACAACATACTACTTTTTGGTGGTGCTACAACTATAAAAAATTCTTTTGTAACTATGACCTTTTAATGATTACTAAAGATAGGAAGAATTATTTTGTAGTTCTATTGGGTGGGGCTCCCTCTACCCGACCCTTCAGCAGATCTTTGTCTTTTTAATATAATTGTTTCTGGTTTCTTATACTACATATATATATATAAAGGATAGTTCAATAGTGGTATAAAGAATTAGATTAGATTCATTAATGTTACATCTTAGCATAGTTAAATGTATTTTCTCAACTTTCAATAAGCAAATATTTCTATATGAAAAACCTTGTTAATATAGAGTTTCAAACTCAAAAATTTCAATTGACATTCATCTTTATGCAGAATTAGTTAAAACTATTTCAACAAAAGTTATATTACACTTGGAAGAAGGCTAAATATATATTTTAATCCCTAATAATTTGAGTTTTTTTTCCTAACATTTATGCTATATTGCTTAAAAAGTTTTCTTCCATTTAGCATGATTCAATTATACATTTTTCGTTGGTGAATGTTAAAATTGGTTGATGTTAAACTTACCATTACACTGCCTAAAAGAATTAAAATAAAAGAGTTTTGCCAACTTTTTAAAAAATTGGAGGAATTAGAAAAATTCCTCTCTTAGATGACCGGATTTCTTCTCAAAATATTTGCAAACCAATTAGTATCATGTGGTGCAGGTTTATTATCAGCTCATTTTAATATTCTCCAATGGTAGAGTATAATTAAAGTTTTTTTTTTTTTTTCTTTTTGAAGTATATAATTGAAGAATGTTAAAATACAAGGGATTAAATTGAAACTTTTTAAACAACGGGACCAAATTAAAAAAAAAAAAAAAAAACTCACAGATATGGTGTATAGATCAAAAGAATGGATACCTGAAAAGACTGACTAAGTTTTTGTTTGACAAATTGATTAACCTCGGCTTTGTATTAAACACCTGCTCCAGCTTTAGCCTCAGATTCTAACTTTTCCTAACAGATGGTAACCCAACGATTCGTTATTTAGTAGTTCAAGAGGTCAAAAAATGCGATAAAGTTAACTGACACAGCCTCATAATTGTCAACAAACCTCGGTACTTCTTCGAATCTTCCTTGTAGGAGTCCGCATTGTGACGAATTCTTCAGCAGCTGTAGGATGAATACCCACCGTTGCATCAAAGTCGGCCTTGGTCAGACCAGCTTTCACAGCCACGGCAAATCCCTGCCCATTAAAACCCGGTACATAGTGAGCTTATGAATTAATCAGTAAGATAAGGGGGGAACAAAGAAAAAGTACTGATTTAAAGGTAGACACAGACACCTGCATGATTTCTGGTGAATCCTCCCCGCACATGTGCAGTCCTAAAACTTTATTCGTCTTTGCACAGACAACAAGCTTCATAAAAACTCGGTTAGGGAGCCCCGAGAGTGTAGCCTTTAGTGGCCGGAAGTTTGCTGTGTAGATGTCAACATCACCATGCTCTTCTATAGCCTGCAAATAGTTGAAATGTCAATGACATAACGGAAAACGTGCGGACGCTGATAGTTCAAACGTAGTATCTCTTCTTACCTGCTCTTCCGTAAGACCAACTAGTCCAATTGGTGGCTGGGAAAAAACAGCACAAGGAACAGCACTACGTAAAGAGTAAGATGTTCAAGAAAATATCACCAACAAAAAAAAGGCCCAAAAATGACAGATAAAAGGAATATGTATTTCAATGTTCAATTTAGAATGAATGCTTAGTCAAAAGTAAAAAAGCAAAAAAAAATTATTGAGGAAAAACAAAACATAACTCAAGGGTCTTCTATCTGTTTTTAAAACAACCGAACATTTAATTGATATTTGAAAAGTTACAAAGCAAGTAAACAAACTCCCTTAAGAAGCAAGACACTAAAACATCAAAAAGTAAGAAAACAAAAGCACATTACATTTAAAGTACCCTAAATCTTGTACATAGGGGACCCAAAAAAAAAGGTATTAAGAAACCCTATCGGCCCAACCCTTGATATTTTTTTCCTTTTGATAACCGGGAGTTGGAGCTTTGGTCCCCTGTACCCAAGGCACCATGCCCGCCCTAAGGCCCAACCCCTAGATATTTTAAGATCTTTTTTCAAACATGCTCTCATTTCGAGTCCAAAGATAAATAAATAGACGCATCCTATATTCCTTGAAGTGATTGAGGAGGTTGAATTTTTCAAAGATGTCAATGAGCCCACTCCAGATCGGAACTTTCTATGTATGTTTCAATTGCATCGATGACGTATTAAAAACATTTTCAAGAAACCTCCACCATGACCACTTGTTCCAAATCACCGAGAATCCTTCTTCTAATCTATTATCAAGTAGATCGAAATTTCCAATCATTTTCCCCACTTATCCCCTAAAATCATATTTTACCTCCCTTCGTGTGCTTCATTTCCCTTCAAAATTTTGGGTTTTACTATTTGCACAAAAAGTTTCTCCTCCCACCTACCAAATGAACAATTTCTAACCGAAGACATCCCTTCTACTGCCTCCCCTTCACCCAGCTTCCTCTTGAAATCACCCAACAACTCCCAAAACACACTCAAACCACCCTTGTAACACCAGTGGAACCACAATACATCTCTCAAGTCTCAACTACTTCAATAGAGGTAGTAGAAATTTCATGAACCATCCAAAAAGATCCGAGCTTCCTTTCCAAACAAAAGGTTCCTTCATCTCACCCTTGAAGAACTTCAGTTTCAAAGGATATTAAAGAAGATCCATCAGCGTTTGTTCCAACAGAAAACATTGCTCCCACTGCAATCTATATAGAAAGAGGCAGATTTCTATTTTCTTCTAACTTAATCAAGAAACCCCCAGGAACCAGCGATAGAACCGATGAAGGAAGGCTTACTTTCCATGATACAACTAATAAAATCCATGAACCTCCAAAGGAAAACTCCATTTTCACCAAGAGAGAAGAACAAAAATGAAAGAGAAGGTAGAGAAAAAGAGAGATAATGATCCATCGAAATCCCGGGGAATGTTATACCAAAGGAACTAAGCAAATTATAGAAAAAGGTGAATGATTGGATCATCACATCTACCATAATACATAAGAAAGGTTTTTTCTGCTCAAAGCCAATAACTGTATAATCTATTAGCATATCAGGACTCAGGAGAAACTCTAAATAAGACATACTAGAGAACTGCCCGTTGGAATCAAGAGAACAAGGGTCTTCTTTCAGTTGGATGACAGAAATGAAAGGTTTAGTTCACTTGAAGAAAATACTGATGAGTTACCATGAAAGTATCTTGACAATTCTGCAAACAGGTCATTTATAGACAACCTATAGGGATGTAAAGAAAAAGTCAATCTATAACTGAATTTATTTATTTTTGAATTTCTTGAGATGGGTTATTGGAAATGGCTCCCAAACTTATTTTTGGAAGGATTGTTGGTTGGGAGATTCCTCTCTTGCCTTGCTTTTCCCTCGGTTGTACTTCTTGTCTTCTATGAATGGTACGATCAATGGCCTCAATCACTTCTCTCGGGGTGCCATTCGTTTAACTTGGGTTTCAGTCATTCTTTGACGGATAGGGAGGTTTGCTTGATTTGGTTCAGTTGGTTTTGGAGATGAGGGTGTTCACTGTTCACCTTTGGTCCCCTGCCCTTTTGAGGGGTTTTCTTGTAGGTCCTTGTTTCCACTGTTGGGTGGCACTCACCCCCTCCATCTGCTTTATTTGCCTCGTTACGGAAGGTCAAAGTGCTTAACAAGGTAATTTTCTTTGCTTTGGTAGGTTTTTCACGGGAAAGTTAATCCTTAGGCATTCCTCCTTCATGCCGGAGCTGCAGTGGTGTAGAACCATATTCTCTGGAGTTGCCCTTTTGAGTCTTTGATCTAGACTTGCTTTATGGAATCTTTTGGAGTTAGTTGGACTCATAATAGTGGGTGTTCGTTGATGATAGAGAAGGTACTCTTTTCTTTTTTAACAAGAAACAAACTTTTCATTGATAACATGAAAAGGAAGAAAAAAGTTAAAGGATACAAGCTCCCAGAGGAAGCGAAAAAGGAAAAAGAAAAAAAAAAAACAAACAGCACATAGAAAACAAAAACCATAAAATTATGAGAATTGAAGCCCAAGAACAGAAGTTGAACACTGATTACAAGAAAGATCGCCAAAACAAAGGACAGACTGCTAAGGAGGAATCCAAAACCATTACTTAACATAAGCTAATCGCCAGAAGAGAAGAAACTGAAACCTCCCTCCACCAAGAGAAGACACAAAAGCGAAAGAAACTCAACCCTCAAAACTGTTGTGAAGCGGAACCAACCAAAAACCAGATGCCCATAATAAAAGCCTACCTAATTAGTGATTGGATCTAGGGTAAGGCCAACGTCTTCAAAAAATTTTAAAAACCTTTGATTTTCTGCACAAGAAGCTCTTTCGCCTCTCAAAGTCTGCTCCCGAGAAGGAGAAGGAATGGAATCTATTTTTGAAGAACAATGATTGTCCTCTGCAAAAAGTAAATTAAATTCCTCTCATAGGGAAACCTCTGATAAATCATCATTAATAACCGCTTCCTCCTCCAAATACTCTGCTGGATCTTCACTGCTAACAATAACATTGAAATCTTCTTCATCTTCAAACAAAACGTTATCCTTGATAGAGAAGGTACTCTTCCATCCACCGTTTTGCGATAAGCAACGCATCTTGTGGCAATGTGTCTTTGTTATGTGGAGATTATGATTAGAGAGGAATAGAAGAGTCTTTGTCAGGAGCATGAGAGGCCTTAGGAGGAGGTGTAGCCTCTTGCTAGATTTAATGCATCTCTTTGGGCCTCCGTTACTAAGGCTTTTTATAATTATCCTCCGTTACTACGACTTTTTATAATTATCCTTTAGGACTTGTCCTTATATATTGGACTCCATTTTGTAGGGGTGAGCATCATACCCCGAAAAACCGCCCCGACCGACCGAACCGACTCGGTTCGGTCGATTTCAACTACAGGTCGATCGGGTGTAAAACTGACCAGTCGGTCGGTCGGCAGTTCCAAATAAGGAAAAACCGACCGACCGACCGATTCATAGGTTAGATTGGGAAAGATGCCCGTTTTTCAAGGTGGTTTTTATAAAAAACCATGGGCGCTCACGGTTTTTAGAAACCACCCAACATTTTTATATTATTTTAATGGTTTCTCTTTCCTCTCTCATCTCCCATTTCCCCAAATCACTCATTATTTACCATTTCATTTATTACTCTCTTTCTTTCCTCTCATCTCTCAAAATCTTCTCCCTCACCATTTTCCACTCTTCACGATTTGTCTCTCTTACCTTTTCATTTGTCTTTCTTCTCTATCTTCTTCCTTTCTTCTTTCTTCTCCATCTTCTTCCTTTCTTCTTCCTTCTCCGTCTTCTTCCTTTCTTCTTCCATTACCATTATAGATTTTTTTTCTTTACCATGTCTTCTTTTCTTTTATTTCTCACCGACGACACAATCTTTCGAAGTTTTCTTAGTTCTTTTTTCTCAACGACAATAATAGCACACTTGTCAGTCGCCTTCGCCGGTCGCCCTCGCCGTCCCAACAGCCCCAACCCAATCATGACAGATTGCTTAGTTAAACCGACCAAAATAAAAATATATTTGTCGGTTAAACCGACAAACCAACCAACCGAACTGATCGATCGGCCGGTCGGCGCCAAACTGGAGAGGGAAACCGTCGGTTTCCAATGGAAACCGACGTGGTCGGTTTCGGCGTCGGGGTCGGCCAAAAACCAACCCCGACCGACCGATGATCAGCCCTACCATTTTGTATAGCTACTAGCTAGGTAGGATTTAGAGCCCTCTTTCTTGGGCTTTTTTTTTGGTATGCCCTCTTGTATACTTTCCTTTCTTCTCAATGAAATCAATTTTTCATTTAAGAAAAAAAAACATCTTAAATAGGTAGACTCTGGAAATTGCTACAAAGAATGCCTCTGAACTTAGATGACTTGATATCATGTTTGCAAAGAAATAGTAGGAGATAAAAGATCACAATAGGAAGTAAAGACTGCGTTCAAGAGAGTTCGTAAAATGACACTACAAAACTTACTAACAAATTATCACAAGATAGATACCTATAATTAGGTTTTGTGGGCTCATTCTGAAATAGGGTTTTTGCCAATGCTCCTCCCTCCATTAAAGCAACAGGAGTTAGGTTTATCCTATCTGTAACATCTCCAACAGCCCAAATTGAAGGAACTGAAGAACGGGAGTATTCATCAACCTAAAAAGACAGAAAATAAGGTTCATATCAGATTTATGCAAAAGAAACGAACACCAAGAAGCAAACCAGAGTCACTACCTCAATTGCTCCATTCTTGGTCATTTTTACGCCTACTTCCTCCAACCCCAAGTTCTGCAAGTATGAGTTGGATTAACTAAATTAGCAATGACTGGTACACTTGTCACCACTTTCAAGGAAATAATGAGACACTCGCAAAGGTTTCTCTGCATTGTTTGTTGGAGTAAAATAAAAAATGCTGAAAACATAAAAATTTAACTACTAAACAACTTTTTTTTGTTTTTTTGTTTTTAATATGAAACCTGATACTTTAGTATTATAAACAAAAAGGGCAGTATAGCATAAGGGCTGGGGGTAGAGATAACCCCCACCCAAAAGAAGCTAACAAATGGCTTTCCAGTTGTTTACAAACATGGAGAAGCTATAGTTACAAAAGAATTTTCTATTTGTAAGACACCGCCAAGAAGCTGTGTGTTGTACATTCCTACAAAGAGAGTCAAAAGAATAAGTCCTATCTTCAAAAGTGCACTAATTCCTTTCAAATCAAAGGTGCCAAAGAAGAGCTCTCGCCGCACTATTTCAAGGAAATCTAGCCTTTCTAGGTAAAAGGCAACCGATCAAGACTTCAGGTAACCAACCATCGACATGTCTTGGAAAACAAGTCAAGATTCCAAAAAAAAAAAAAAATCCAGTAGAAGGAACCAGCCTCAGGCTGCGAAAGAACAATGCACAAAAAAGGTGGTCTAAGGATTCACCATCACTATTGCATAAACAACAAAAAGAAGAGGAAATTGTCCAGCTTCTGCCCTTCTTCTGAAGAACCTCATGGGTGTTTAGACTTATATAGGCCAAAGACCAAAACACCTTGATTTTCTTAGCCCTTAGGAATTCTAAAATTCTTCAAGGAAAGGGGGGCCGCTGAAAACTAAAAATAAACAGATTTTGTGGATAAAGCTCCTCCTTTTCCCAAGGACAATAATCCTTGTCATCACCTTCTCCAAGCCTTACCACATCCAACAGTTGAATGAGACCCACCCAACTTCCCAACTCCCTATGAAGAGACCTCTACGAAGGCCTAAATCCCAATCTCTTGAGGTCTCAAGCCAACAATCAGTAATGGAAGCTTCTTCTTTCAAAGATACGCTGTAAATATCTGGAAGGCAGCTTGAAGAGTATTATCCCCTAATCTTAGAAAGCAAAGATGTTTACCATGTTCTGTTCTTTTTGATTACTTACACCAAGAAATTTGCACACTACATTATATAGTCAAAGGAAACTAGCTTATGCTTTGGTGGGCTAGTTATGAAACTTAGTTCTATTAGTACAGCTCTCTGTTACCTATTGATTTTGTTGCTGTAGTAACAAGTAGACTCAACTCCATGATTACCTAGGATCAAATCTTGCATATTTATATCCATGATCATTTCCTCTTTCGAGATTGTTCTTTTATATCCTCTTCCATACATATTTGATTTAGTTGTGAGTCATGGGTACGCTAGTCAATAGTTGGGATATCATTTCCTCAACTGTAATAGGAAGGATTCTTCTTATAAGTCAACAATACAACTACAATAGAATAAGAAATCAATGCAGTTTTTTTCTTCAAAAACAAAAGGTGTGCTTTCAACCGTTAAAAACTGTCGTCACCTATCCAGGTTCACTCGCTTATCATAAGGTGGTTATAGGAAATACAAATATTCAAGCATACTTTGAAGACATATTCAATGCAACAGGAAGAGATTTGCAATCTTGATACTAGCCTAAGGGAACTTTCATCAATATTGTAATATTTTACCTTTGTATTAGGCCTGCGCCCTGTCGCAAACATAACATGTGAAAAGCCTTCAACTGTTCCTTTGTTAGTCTTCAGAGATAATGACCCATCTGCTGATTTAACGATAGCCTGTGGTACCTCCTCTGTATGGAACTCAATTCCTCTTAGAGACATCTGTTCTGCAACAAAGTCTCTAATCTAGAACAAATAAATTTAAACATGAGAGCTTTGAAGTGAAGGAAAAGAATCAAGCAACCATACGAAATTAACGTCAACATTTACCTCTTCATCGAAGCCTCTTAGCACTTTTTTCTGCCGTATAAATACATGAACTTCACTTTTCAAACCATTGAAGATGCCAGCAAACTCTAGAGCAATGTATCCACCTCCAACTATAGCAATCTTCTCAGGTTTGGATGGCAACTCAAGGGCAGCATCAGAATCTATTGCATACTCACTGCCAGGAATGTCAGGAATGAAAGGTCGCCCCCCAACTGAGACTAGTATGTGTCTAGCCGAATAAAGCCTTCCATCTACATCAACCGTGTGTGCATCCACAATCTGTAGATATTATGTTGTTGAAATTGATACATTTAACAATTCCGTAACATGTTCAATGAACAGACCTTTGCTAGCTTGATCTCAAGAGTTAAAAGGGAAAGAAAATGTCGTACATCTCAAAAAGTTCTGTGCAAAAACAGAGTATTAAAAAAGGAAAACAGTAACATTTAGTGCTAAAAATTGTGAACTCACAGTGTTGCCCCACCTTTCCACGGCCTTCAATCAATTTGACACCAGCATTTTTTAGAACGCTCTTGTAGATACCAGTTAGTCGTTGCAACTCAGCATTCTTGTTAGCAATCAAGGTGCTCCAGTCATGCTTTGGTTCAGAGTCATATTTCCATCCAAAGCCATGACTCTCTTCAAATTCATGAGCGTATTTTGATGCATATACAAGTAGCTTCTTTGGTACACATCCTCGAATAACACACCTGGAAATCTAATAGTAAGATGACAGACATAGGAATTGAAAGGCATTCAATTTTAAGAACTCAACATAACACAGAATTCAAGAAAATAAAAGCAAAAACATAGCAAGGATTCAGACTATATACACTTTTTTAAAGAACTACCATACATTTCAATGATTTTCAAATTGAAAATTTATTTTACTTAATGATATAGATCTTTGAAAGACAATAAGATAGAGGTGATGAAACATATGACACTTCAGAAAACCGACGACACTAATTACGCAATTATAATATGTAATGCTTTATAATAATGGATTTGAAGAAAATAAAAAACCCAACAAACATTTCTCTAGGATTTATTTAATATCTCAATCCAAAGGCGAGGATATGGAAAAATCACATTTCTTAAAAAATGTTATACATTTAACAATTTTCAATTTCAAAATTTATTTTAGTTGATGATATTGATATTTGAAACACAACATAACACTTCAAAAAACTGATGAACAAATTACATATTTCTAATATGTAATGCTGTATACTAGTGGATTTGAAGAAAAGAAAAAACCAAATAAACGTTTTTCTCTCTAAGAGGTTAACATCTAAATTCCTTCAAACTGTTCTCCCTCCTTAGAATAAAAAAGTACACCATGTCCTCCATATTGAGAGTAAAACTGTAACACATCATAACGAGATGCCCCAACATAAAAAGAACCAAGGAAGAGGAACCAACGGGTAATCGATGCTTCACTTCCACTAGTAACCATCGTCAATCTAAACATAGTTCAATAGTTAAGTTATTGGTTTTTTTTTTTAAAATAATAATAATAAGAGACTGAGCTTTTATTAAGACAAATAAAGGAATGAACAAGAGCATAAAAAAAACCATCCTAACGTAAGGTACTCCAATCTACAAAAGAACTCCAAACTGATCATTACAAAACTCCTTTGTAACTGAGCCCATGAAGAAGTACTAAATCTTATAAGCTCCCAGGTAGCCTCCCAACACTTCTCTAAACTCCCAGGTATCAATAGTTAAGTTATCTCTACCTCCCATCAAATTCCCACCTCTATTATTGATGTAATGTTCTAAGAAAGATTGCACCTCTCTCTCACACACACAGAACTGCCTGGGGGCGCAGGAGAACGCTTCAGTGAAGCTCCACAGCCCAATAATGTAATAAAACCACATAGTTTAAGTAAGAACCCATAACCCATGTAAGAGCAATTCCTAAATTCTCATTTCATACAACCCTACCCCACATAAAGAGTTCTTCATTCACACATTGAAAACACCTCAATCCAGATAAGCTCGAATTGCAAACAAGACAATCAATCAGAAATTGCAAACTTACGTCCCACCAACACCTCCAGCGGTGTCAGACGAAATGGTGGAGAAAGGAAGCTCGCAAACCGCCACCGAAGCACCAAAATTAGCAGCGAAGCGAGAAGCTCGCACACCCCCACTGCCTGCGCCGATAGTAAAGAGGTCAAAATCATACGGGCGAAGAGCTTCGGCGCCATTTTCAGACTCGGCCCGAACTACAAGCCCACGGTGGCGATAGAGGCGATGATTAGAGGTGAATTGAATGAGAGGCAGGAAGCGGTGGGAGTGGGAAAGAGGGGCTGCTACAGGCTTAGGAATGGAGAGAAATGAAGTTGATAGAGAAACGGGGAGGTTTTTGCAGAGAAGGGTGTGGAGGGTCTGCGAGGAAGAGAGGGAAGCGGCCATTTTTCTCTGAACAAAAGCGCAATTCTATGGATTTCTTCGTGGGTCTGTGCTCTGTACCACTTCCATCAATGGGGAAAAAATTTCGATTGAATATGATATGGGTTGTGTGATTTGTAAAGAGTGAAGACCAATCAGTGGGATTTCTTTTGGGCTTTGCATAGCAACTAGAATGGCGTCTGGATTCTTAGGAGGAGATTTACAAATTTTCTACTTCTGTTTCTTCAGTTTCATATTTGAGATTTTTAGGAATCTTTTAAATTTTATTTCATTGTGAGTTATGAACTCTCTCTGTGTTGGAGACAAGGTGAAGTTCTAGCAATGAAAATTTTGATTACTTTCGATGGTGTTTACCAAATTTATGAATGTAATCAAATGGTAGAATTCACATTAAATTTTGTAATCCCATTACACTCATAATTTTTAATTAGTTTGTTTTATACTTTTATAATTTGTTCTCCATTTATACTCCAATCTTTATTAGTTGATGAGATTTTATTATATAATATTAATACTAATTAATATCATTAAATTTTTTAAATAGATATTATTACTTTTAAATATTAGAATGATAAAACTGTTTTATTAAAGTTTGGTTCTTATAATAAAAAAATATTTTATTTGATGTAATTTTATTTTAATTATTCATTAGGTATTAATATTAGATAAATGGTTATAATAAGAAATATTTACTATCAATAATATAGTAATAAATTAAATTAAAATTTATTATTATTGTAATTAAAAAAAATAGCACAATAATATATTTGTAATTAGCTAAAAAGGAGAAAGGGGTATATTAGTAATTATCATATATCTGATTCCGATTCCGATTCCAGACAGTTTTAATAAACAACATCAAAGGAATTCTGATTACGATTTTAGAAAATTTCTAGTAAACAACATCAATGGAATAACATTACGATTCCGATTGATTTCATTACGATTGATTTTCATTACGATTGCGATTAAGTAAACGTGGCCTAAAAGAAAATTTTTATTAAGTTGAACCAAAAGAAAAATAATAATATTTTTTCCCTAAATTTGGTGGGGTGTATCAATTTTTATTTCAAAATTTTCAATTTCATCGAATTACATTTTAATTTGAACACAAGTGTTATAATTTTCGCAAACTTTAGAAAGTGTAGATTTTCATGGGTAGAATAGGGTTAAAAAAAGTATTTTTCTTTTTAGGTGTATCAATAAATTATAAAACATAAATTTTGTGTTGTTAGGATTTAAACAAAAATAATAAAGCTGAAATTTTATTTTTATTTTTTTGTTTTTGAATGTGTAATTTTGGATAGAGTTATTTAATGATCGATTTTGTGCCCAATGAAACTTAATTTTCATTAAATTAATGAATCTTTAATCCTTTTTATTTTTATTTTTGCACTAAATTTAATGGATGAATTAGTAATTTGATTAGAGAATAAAAATTGCAACACATATCTAAGTTTATGTTTTAGTTTAATGAAATTGAAAATAAAAAATTGATTTAAAATAAAAAAACTAATTGGTGTGATTCACCTCGGAATAATTCATCCGAATATGGGACAACTCATCCTTTCCTTATTCAATTTTTATATTTCCTTTGCGAAAAAAAAAAGAATATATATATATATATATAGTTTTATATTTTCTCTCTCATCTCTTGCGTGGGAGATCTACACTCCTTTTTCATTAAGAGCAAAATATACTTTTGATATTGGTGTCTATTTGGTACTGAAGTTTCAAAATTTACATTTATAGTTTATAAGGTTTGAAAAATATTCTTAAAGGATCATTGCAAGCTTCTTTAACCAATAGTTGATTAACGGAGAAAAAGAAAAAAAAAACCACATAAAGAACAAGTCTATATGGCACAGCTTCCACAAACCGTACCTAAACAAATACCTAGCTTTATGCCCTAAAACGTACCCTGAAGCTTAATTTGAGAGACTTTTTATAATGTGCATCAAGGAGAACAAACACTATCGAGATGATAATTATAAGGTTTGCAAGCTAAAATCGTGCAAAACTCCATCAATAAACAAGTTAAAAAAACTTGCCTAGAGCTCAACGAATTGAAATGATATATAATTCCAATTTTACCCTTTGGAATGTTGAGAAGAAGTAGGACAAGTGGAGAAAGAAGTTACAAGCCAACTTAGAATACCCAAAGTCAAATACTCTTTTAAGGATTATTTAGGATTTCTTTCGAGTTTAAACCCTAAACTAGTACGTTTCTTTGTGTTTCTTATTGTATTCTTATTGTAACCTTCTTATGGACCTAATCTGTATAATAGTTCTCCGACCCAAGTTCAAGGTTATATATCTTAGTTATGTTCCATCCTATAAAGAGTTCACGGAATCACTAACTAAAGTTTGCTTTCATAAACTACCGAACAAACTTGAAAGTTCAAGCTTTTGCCAAAGGCTCCAACCAAACTAATCTGCATAGGGCAGTTAAAACTTAAAAATCATCCAAACATACCCTTAGTTTGTAATTTGCTAAGTTAATTAAAAAGAGAAACACAGGCAAAATATTTAAACATTTTTTACTTCTTTCTACATTGATATCCCAACAACAGGCTTTGATGATACAAATTCAAAAGCTTATACGAATTCGAGCCAAAGGCGAATATCCACAACGACGATAACAACAACGACAACAATAAAATGGCGATCGAGTTTTGCCTAAAGAGACAAGCCCGATTCCTCATCCTCTTCAAGAGAAGAAGTGTAAACGATGTAGAATGACCATATGAGACCAAAAACCCCTAAGAGAATCCAAGCAAGAAGATTGTTGCTCAAACCAAATGGAAGGCCAGTCCCTTCTGTGCTCAGTCTCTCATCCACCAGAGCCATGGCCGGGCTCGACATCGTCGTCGCCACCGCAGCGATCAACGACGCACCCATCCCGAGGCTGCTACATTTGTTTTCTGCTTCTTTGCTTGCCTTTCCTTCTTCCATGGAACACCTCACTCCTCCCTTCTTTCCCAACGCAGGCAACCCTACCATCAAAGTCATCAAAATATAAGAGCTTAAATTATAACATTTTTGTTTCATTTGTTATGATTTAGTCACTTACATTACTATTTTGATGCCTGTTTTTTCAATTTAACATAAATTAATGGAAACTTTAACATTTTTTTTAGTACAAATTAATGGAAACTATTTACATATGCATTTGTAAAACTTTAACATAAATTATATATATAAATGGATTAGTACAAATCTATGACTACTTTTAAAAAAAAAAAAATTTAGCGAGTGAAGCGTAAGTACAATAATAAAATAATAAAATAGACATTTTGAAAGTATAGATGTCCAAATTTATGTTTTAAAAATCCTATGTACTGTTTAAATGAACTAAAGTCGAAAGTACCGAAACCTTTATTTGAGAAAGAACCGCGTGCATGAACAAGTGAATGAAGTCCCGAGGTTTTTCGTCTTAGATAGAAATCAAACATAAAAAATTACATAACAAAAAGCAATACAAATACTATACATTAACCTAAACACTAAAATTTATTAATTGAGCAATATTTATAAAAACAGATCATAAAAAATCAACTCATCAGCCTGATCAGAAGAGAAATGGGGAGGAACTCACCGAGAAGGAAAGGGGCGGATGAAGCCGCCGTCCGGGGGCGGCTGTGAACCGGAGCAGTGCGCACGGCAGCGGCGGCGGAGGTGACGGCGGCCATTTGCTTTGTGTTGGAGGAGAAAAATGAAAAATCAAATTTTTTTGGCAGTGGAGAGAGAGGAGTAGAGATTAATATTATTTTGTTGGTAGAGAAGTGAGACCACACAATTTTGTAGATATGGAGACAGCCATTCATTTGATATCCTCTAATCTACCAGTGGCCTATTGAGTTTGTACACGTGTCGGCTCATCCATTTTTGGCCAATAGATTTTCATCCTACGTGGACTTTGGCAAAGTGAGAAATTTGCCAACACTCACTCACGTTCCTTTCATATCAAACAAACGTGATGCTCAACTTTGATTGATATTAGGCTCGGTTCATTTATTTATGTTGTTTACTTATAAAACTGTTTGGGTTGGGTTGAGTTGAAATGAGACATAATACCTGAACTATTTTGGTTTTAGATTTATGGATTTATCCATGTACAAATTTCTTATGATTCAGTAAAAATTGTTTGAGTTGAAGAAATTTACAAATAGTAAATGACTAATATATGTAACTGAACATAACTCAATGGATAATGGATAAGACATCCTGTGGTTATTGAACTAAGAAAAAGGTAAATGGGACGATCGTAAAATTCCATAACCAAACTAGTAGTTTATAGGTAAATGAATAGCCTCCTTTTCTCATTCTCTTATAAATCCTCCGTTGCATTTCCCTTTTTAACTATACAATATTATAAAAGAGCAAGACCAACTTCAATCTTTATTGGATCATTTTTCTTTTTTTTAGCACAACAAGTGGGCTGGACCAATCGAACTCGTGACCTCTTGATCAGAGACAGGTGCCAATTATCGCTAAATGAAACTCATGTTGGCTTATTAGATAAATTAAACAGAGTACCAAATAGCTTAAAAACTAAAAAAATACATTTCTCAAACTAAAATTAAATTAGAAACTAAGAACATCAACTATGAGCAGGGACTAGTTTAGTTTAAAAAGCTAACATTTTCTCCCAACCAACGATATCATATATTTCCATTTCTTTTCCAATTCTCAATCACTTTTCACCACACCCATCTAATAAAGCAAGCACAATCATAGAACTACAAGCAAACCTTTCTTTTCCCTCTTTTATTAACTATTTCAATTGTATGGTGCTTTAAAAGAATACTGTAATTCATTAATATGGTACAAGATAATACAGTACAGCAGACTAATTACATTACTAATTTCCAGTGAGATTTGATTCTTGAACCTTGCTATCATCCTCTTTGGTGCCGTGTAACTTTTCTTGTATGCTTTTCGCGAGCCCCGAAGCCTCCTCATCGAATTGTAGAATTTTTCTCTGCAAACTCTGCATAGCCTCAATGTTTATAGTCCACATATCGATGATTTGGTCACACACCATACAAGATTTACTAATGATAGAGTAACGCGTACCTCAGATGCCCATAAGCAATCCCTTGCCTTGCGGGGAATTATGTGAATGTGAGTCTGAAAGTTTCAAACTTACACGAAAATTAGCAAAGATGAAACTATCTATAATGCTTGCTAGAACCGCCATGAGTTGGTCTAGAGATCGAGAGAGCAAGTTAAAATATTAAAATCACATAGTAAAATTCTTCGTAATCAAATATTATAATGTCACGTGATTGTAATAGGAACGCTATTAGGATAGAACTAAGAATATTATGAGTATTAAAGGTATATTAGTAATTAATTAGAGAATTTGTTAAGGGGATTTGTTATAAATAAGGTCAGTGGGAAAGGATTGAGTGAGCAAGGTTTATGTTCGAGTAAGAATACTCTCTTTGAGAGGAGGATCCAAGTAGTAGTTATTATAGTTCTTCTATCCTCTATCTTTCAATCTATTTAAGTTGTTTGAGTGTTTGACTTCTATTTTTGTCTCGTAAAATTAGTTGAGGTGCATTATGCTCCAGGCTAGTAAAATTTAGCCTAAATGTGCAAGTTCACGTTCGTTCACTCGAGCATCATTAGTGAAACCTATATTGCCCTCAAGGGCCATAGAGAAGAGTAAGAGAGATCTATTACAACTCACATGGAATATAACTTGACCAGCAGCCACACCATTGTTTACTAACAAATTGAATGAATCTGCATATGATATAAATTTATCTTCAAGTCAGACTAAAACTCCATGAAACAAGCAACATCCACCACAGATTAAGAAATGTCATACAGATCAAATTAGAAGAGGACATCCATTCTGATTCTACGTTTCTGGTTCAGACAACAAAAAATGCAATATAAAAGAAAAACTAGACAAGGACATCATCTCCACATAAACGTGACCCGGACTAGAGATACACCAGGTACTTTGTGTTAGCCAGTTCATGAGAGGGCAAGGGTGCCTGTGTTAAGTTAGAATGTGTACGTATGTGGGGTCCATTGTAACTAAGCACGCTACAAGTAAGTGTGTGACTTTAGATAAAGTTAGAAGAATATGAATAAAAGACGAAATATATAATAATCTATCAACTTATGTTTTTAGGTTTAATGGTAGTTTGACATGGTGTATCAAAGTAGAGGATTCTGTGTTCGAACTTTTGTCATGTCATTTCCTCTCCAATTAATATTAGGATAACCACTTGTTGAATTTTGTGCTAATTTCCTATTAGAATCCATATATATGAATTAAATTTACCAAATCCATCAACTTAAGCTTTTGGGTTGAGTGGGGGTTTATTCGTCCTTAACATGGTATCAGAGCAGGAGGTCCTGTGCCCGAACCCCTGCATTGTTGTTTCCTCCCCATTTCTAATGATTTCCACTTGTTGGGCCTCGTGCAATTATCCAAACCCACAAGTGGGGGGAGTGTTAGAATCCATATATACAAATGAAATTTACCCAATCCATCAGCTTAAGCTTTTGGGTTGAGTGGTGATTTATTCTTCCTTGGCATTTCCAAACTCACAAGTAAGGGGAGGGTTAAAGAACAAAAAGATATAATATACCGGTATTGGCGGTATCAGTTTAAGCTTTAGATTTATCTAAACGAATAATATTTTGAGGCTTCTATGGTGGAAAGAAGGTACCCTTTTGGTAGTTGATAGATTGGGAGTGAGAGAAAGTCAAGGACCTATCCACTGTTCCTTGTCAATATATCTCTCTCTTAAGAAAATAAATGAGTCTATCAGATTCATCCACATTTTAGGTATTTTCATGTGATCTAAAATCCAAATGCAATGCCTTGGCTATTAAAAAGAATTTGGAAACCTTGTACGATTTTTTTTAAAAAAGAACCATAACTTGGTGACAAGATTGAAAATATTGGGTGTAGTTAATCTTTTATCTTCTCAACAGTAAGATTACAGGACATCTACCCCTTTTTACGAGAAACCAAACTTTCATTGAAGAAAATGGAAGAATACACAACATATAACATATGTATTTCAAACATGCCTGAATTCCCAATATATTACATGACGAATAAGACTAAGAGATGAAAAACTAAACAAGTGAGCAAATGAAAGGAAGACTTATGCATACAAAGTAGCAAATAGATAGTTCATACCACAACCAGTAGACTTCATGATTGCATTACTAATGAAGGGAACTTTCGAACACATTGCAGCTATCACCTGTTTGATAAGTGAATAGGAGTTAGAGAAATATAAATGCACAATTCATCAGAAACTTGACCTATATATATATATACACAGGTTAAATAGTAAGGGCAAAAAAATATTAGGTGAAAGCAAAGCTTATGATATAAGCTCTATGAGATAAGAAAAAATGGAGAAAGATGAGCATAATTCATCTGAGGTCTCTTGAATGCTTGCTTTTTCTTACATAGACAGATTTCATTGAAAAAATTTTGTTTTTTTTTTTGACAATTACTCTAGAACAGAGCTTCAGTGGATGATAACTTACAGATGGAGGCGTAGCTTCCAACGAAGAGTAATGAGATTTTGGTATAATTAAAGAGTGCCTGGATGGAACATAAACAATGAAGAACAGGGAAAAAAAACCTTAAATTGGTTAAAAAACTCAACTCGACATAAATCCTAGTTAGATTAGGAAGCATTAAGTCACATTTAATGTGTCAACTATACAATGCCATGGCCACATCAACAAGGAATTGTATGATAAGGGAAAAATAATTTTAAATATGTCCTAGTTAGATTAGGAAGCATTAAGTCACATTTAATGCGTCAACTATATAATGCCATGGCCACATCAACAAAGAATTGTATGATAAGGGAAAAATAATTTTAAATAAAGGGCAGAGAGACGGAAGTATCTAAAAGAATCCAGATAAAGAATGGAACTTCTTTAAATGGATATAATAAGGATATACCTCTATTTAACTACCACAAAACTCAAAAGCTTAAGTTGATAGGTTACGATAGTGGATCTGGAAATTAGAACAAGGCTCAACAAGTGATTATAAATATTATTAATCGGGAAGGAAGGGGTTTGAACATAGCATCTTTATTTTGATGCCATGTTAAACTACCAACAAATCTAGGTATGGTGTTTTTTTTTTTTTTTTGAACAAAAGACGAACTTTTCATTGATAAAATGAAAAGGAACAAAAATGTTCAAGGATACAAACTCTCGAAAGAGTGAAAGGAAAACATAAAATTCATAAGATACAAAGAAAGAATCTAAAAATCAAAACTACTCGGGCCTAATAAAAGCATACCAATTGGTAAAAATAAGAGAAGGGGAGTAATGAGAAAATGAATAAGAAAGAGAACACCAATGAGATGCTTTGAACTTGGCTTGAGGTAATTGAACAAAGATCTTCGTTTACTCTTGAAAAGCCGCAAATCGAAATTAGTGATTAATACAATGATGCTAGTAATATAGTGACATGATAATAAGATATCATTGAGTTAAAATTAATAATCTTACACCTGATAAATTTTTCTTTATTCTTTTTAACAGACTAGATAAAATTCAAAATTAGTGAATGCAATCAAATACATCAGTAAGTTACTTGAGGTATCAATGTAACTTATAAACACATCTCGAGATATTATCACACATAAAATCATCAGACAGAATAAATCCATGCTTGTCTCAACATAACAACCTATATAAATATGTATTGCATCTTGGATGAATGATACCTTACCCATTACTCAATGGTCTTGTATCTAATATACAAAGGCAACTATCATCTTCATAGAGCTGCAAGTTGAAATAATTTAGGTGTAAGAAAAAAAAAATGGAGAGTTAAACTAGCTACTCATACCTCATTATTGTGCACTAAATTTAACAGTAACTTTTTCATCAGCCATGAGAAAGGAATATGGACTTCTCTAATTAAACTTATAAGATTGCCTGATGTAGCTATAAGGGAACAATCACTTTTTTTTGGGTGATAAGACTGAATCTTATGTTGAATTGCTGAAAAGTAAAGGATAAAAGAAAATGCAGACAAAAGGAGTTTATATTGCTTCAATTATTTCAACAACATCAACATTGGTTCAATATGATTGTACAAAATAATCACTTTTGCATATTTAGTAACACAGGATATGGCTCCATTTGATAACACTTTCATTTTTAGTTTTATGTTTTTAGTAACTATGTGTGTTTCTTCCTAATTTCTTTGGTATGTTTTTCATCTTTCTTAAAAACATATTTGAATTCTTAGCCAAATTTCAAAAACTTGTCTTCTATAAAAAAAACAAAACCAAATAATTAATCATAAGAGAGAATTTACAAAACGAAGATGAGATTTCCTTGACCAGCCAAAGAGATTACAAAAAGGGCTCCAATTTGGCAGTAATTCGTGTCAAGCCATAATTACAAAATAAATAAATAAAAATAAAAAAAGAAGAAGAATGAAGAAAAGAAATACATAAGTGAAAATAGTATATATAAACTCAATTTTCAAAAACAGAAGACCAAAAACAAAAATAGTTATTATATGGGGCCTATAGTTCAAAGTTGCATTTCAATTTCCTAGCTGAGCCAATAGTACTTCTTGAAAAGCATTTTGTCAGATCAAGCCTAAAACTAAAACCCCACTATATTAATAATAAAAATGATACTTATTGTCAGACTTTTATTATTCTATATTGCATTTAACAATACTCATCACTCATCACTTGTCAAACTCAAACTTCATCCTTAATATATAATTGAGTGAAACAGAGGCTACAAGATAGTGCATCTTATGAATATTTAACCAAACCAGACAGAGAAAACACAAATCAAAATAAAACAAAACTCAATGAAATGTAAGTATCTTTAGAAGATAGTAACATTTATAAGGAAATAACAGATGAAATCCCTAAATACCAATGTTTGAAATGGCGAAAATTAGCTCTTCTATTCTATATAAGAGGCTTTAGTTATCAAAGTATGCATATAAACTACGAGCTGATTTTAATTATAAATGACTAGAACAAGAAACTTCACTTAAATATAAGCACTTCATAGTGATGGTGGTGCATATTTTGCAATAGGAGGGAATAACTGGTTTGTTTGCTTCAAATATCCCCTATCTAATAAAGCAAACATAAACAGATGACATCAAAAGTTTAAATGGATAAAACAAACAATTAATACCTTTAAAGCAGGCGATTCGCCACGTATAATCCTGCAGAAAACACAATCATCTTGCAGACTCCCCTTCTGAGAATCATGAATTAGCTGCTCACCCTTGGATCCAGAAGCACAGTTTGAAGAGGAAAGATGTGAGAGAGGAGCTTGGTTATGTCCCAAGTTGATCGGGCAGAGATGCGAACAGAGAATGGCAAGCCTCCGAGCCTCCATTGACCATTCGAAGCAGAAATTATTGCAGTCAAACTGTGAATCGCCATAAGTATATACTGTAACACATGTAGAGAATTTGATAAAACAAACAGAGCCACTGTGCTATGAACTTAAAAATCTAGAGAAGAAAAAGGACAACAATGAACTGTGGATATTATGACTCAAAGGAAATGAACTGTCCCCGTGAATTCGACAGCCCTGAGAGTTTCCTTCAGCTGTAATCAGCTTATTTTTTTAAGTACTCCAGAAAAATTTATACAGATCAAACTACACTCTATTTAGTCATCCAATCATCACCTATAGACATTATGTAAATGCCTCTCTAGTAGCCATGTATCTTCCTACTCTTACACAATTAACCCTTTACCCCTTCCTTGCATCTGGAAAATGTGAAACTTAAAAAGTGAGTCCTGGCATTACCCCACTGAAACTTGAAATTTTTCCTCAAGGTGGAGGTCAGGAAACTGCTGGTAGGTAACATCAAAAAGTTCCCATCTGACCTCAAAATTACGCAAACTTTTCCAAGCGAAACAGTGCTTGCAATTATTCAAATTTATCAATTGGCTATGTCCACAACCCCAAAACTTCTTTGCCTCTTCGGGCTCCACAAACAACTCAAAACAGGCAGTCAATTGAGGAGGCAAGGTAGGCAAGCATGAGTCATACCAACTGATCGTCACAATTGAGATTTGAGAATCAAAGAAGACAAGGTGAATGTGTGAGAGACCTATTAGGAGTAGTTTGGAATAGTATTAGTATTCTAGTTAGGGGTGTTATGGTAATTAGTTAAGGGTGAGTTTGTTATAAATAGAAGTATTAGAGAGAGAGGGAAGGTATCTTGGGAATAGTTTATGGCGAGGAACTTGAGAGAGTTCTTGGGAGAGAGATAGCCCTCTCGAAGGCTATTGATATTGTAATTTCTTTTTGATATTGCAATATAGTTACTTAGTTGATGTTTTGGACAATCTAGTTTGGAGGACACCTTGACGATACATGCCAGAACAAAAAACAGGCCATAGAACTTAGGGGTTGACTCCTCACTCCTCCTTTCTGCAAAAAATTTTAGCCCCAAAGCCAAAGGTTCAAGAAAACCATATCCCCAGTTTTCTACTCACTATGACAATACTTATCTTCGGCCAGTTTCATGTGCTGTTGAGCCCTTAGTAGGTGAATTTTAAGATAATCTAGAGCTGAATCCTGCTCCTCTAGCATGTCTCCAATGGTCAAAATATAGGAAGAGCCATTCTCATAAAGGAAGCAGTGGCGGAGGTGCCAGCCCATGAATTTTCTAAGCACTTGTTTAACTACCTCAGATTGTGCAACGGGGATGATGGCTGTACTTTGCTTAAGAATAATCTCTTGAACTTGAACCTTGAACAATTCTTCCCATAAGTGATTCAAAATATGATTGAACGTGGAAAGTTACCCAAGTGATCAGACCACATCCTTTAGAAAGATTTCAAGTACCAGTTGGGGAAGTGTTCAATTCACTCCATTAATACCACTAAGATTGTTTCAACCCCAATAGAGTGATGTAGCCTCTCAATGAAATCCGTGGTCATATCATCCCAAATTGCATATGGTAATGGTATGAGCTGCAGTGATCTAGATAGTGAAAGACCTTAGACTTTCTTGCAGTTACAGATCTCCCAATCTTTATCAAAGGTGGCCAGAGACAGTCTTCCACATTTAGACCCAATACATATCTGCAGCTCAGTACAGCCAACGGAAAAGCAAGGATAACAAATAAAACCCATCTAAGTATAGTATAGGACAGAGCGCATCCACCACCAATTATCTGACCCTGATAGTACTAGATTTCAAAGTTGAAACCCATGAGCTCTCAATACCAAGCGCTAGAATTAGTTCCCAAAGGCTTTTTTGGTCTATACAGACAATGAACTTCTCTCCAACCAAATAAGATCTCCACTTCTGAACCAACAAAACCGTAGTCGTCAACTTCCTCTCATACACTCAATTTTGGGGCCCTTCTGCTGTGTTGATACCAAATAATTTGAGACAATAATTTCTCATACAAATATACATATCTAGTGCTACCACAGTACTCAATACTCACAAGTTTACCTCTCATTAGTCGGCCCCATAAGTAGAAACAAGAAACTATTCAGCCAGACAGGATAGGTACATGGACTCAAACAAGATCTACAGAGTTCAATTTCTCTATTTTTGTTCCTCTCCTCATCTTTATGTTTATATTCAAGTAAGTTTATAAGTAATAAAATAGCCTTTTCCCTTTTTTCTCTTTTCTTTTGAACCCTTTAGGATTTAAAGAAAATGATACTTTTAGCTCCATAACGATTGAGAGAGGAAAAAAATAAAAGAAAAAAGAAAGACATGTTTTGCTAAGGATTTTTATGCACCCAAGAGTTGGAATCCTACCTGAGTGTATTCTATTAGACTATTACTGAACTCTTGATTTCCTCTGAAGAATTATTTTAAATAGAGAAAAATAAGTAACCCCACTTTAATTATAAAATGAAAATATTAGATTGAACCACTGAGGAGAACGAAATGGTGAATTAATAGTTAAAAATGATAGAGCAGACGAAATGTACCAAGTTATGAGTTAGATATTGAATAAAGATGTTGCTGCAATATTTAGCATACTTTGATCATTTGAAACCATATCCAACAATTTGCACTTCCTGACTCAAAAGTATCTCTAGCAATCATTACCAACTCACGTGGCAATAAATTCTTTTTTTTTTTTTTTTTTTTACTTTTTCATCATTTTTTGACTTCATTTTTTCAACTTTTTCACTCTTATATACTTTAAATTCTATTTTGGTCATTTTACTTTTAGCTTTTTATTTATTTTGATCTTTTGTAATTTCAAAACGTCCATTTGGACCATTGTACTTTTAGTTTTTGTACCGTCCCCGTACTTTTAAAACGTAGCCGTTTTGGTCCCTATCTACATAACTCTAACATAAATTTTATACCCTAAAAAACCCTTGAATACACAGCTATAAAAATATTTCAAAATATTTATTGAGTGCAATGTTGTGATAAAAAAGAAAACAAGGCATCAAAATGGGGACCAAGAAATGGACAAAGGACAAAGATAAGGTTTAATCCTTAATTCTTCTACTTCCCGACCTAAGTCTTACTTTCTTCTCCTTTTGCTTTTCTCACAAACTGACGCCTTCCCTTCCTTTCTGCCAATATATGCATATCTGAATATTCTCCCCTCAAACTTTTTCAAAAAAAATAAATAAATAAATAAATCAGGTCAAACAACAGACATGTCCTTCCTTTCAAAGGTTTGACCAAATCACAACAAACAATTATATAATCTCCGGCCAGACAAAGCATTAAGTTTCAAGAACAGAGTAACTCGTCAAATGCACTAAAATTATCAGGAAGGATTGCCATTCACCTCTCCCTAGCTTCCCGATTCAGCACCAAATCCTTTAGCTCCCTTTTCCACCCGATCCTGGTATCAATCAAATAGCTCCATACCCACCAAGAATTTGTGCCAAAGTTGGTGCTGCAAGGCCCATTTCGCCACTAAGTTTGGAACCCAGATGGGAAATTATGCGGAGAGAGCTCAGAAACTAGTTGGGTCAGAGAGTGAGGCCGAGAAAGAGAAGAAAAGGGTGGCTAAAGAGAGAAGGCGAAAGCGTGGGTTTTAGAGAGTTTGTGGGTGTGGGTGTGAGAGAGAGAAGAAGAGGGAGAGATGAGATTCCAAAATGAATGGCTGCTCTGTTATCTGGATTCACTTTGTAAGATTGGTTTCGGCCTTTTGTTTTGGGATCGACTTCGACTTAGCATTATTGGGGCTCAAATTGTTCATCTTATGGGGACAAAAAACAATTAAAAAAATACATTTTGTTCCGTAACAATGTGACAATTAATTGACACATGAGTTAGATTTCATTCTCTTAATTCAAAAAAGAAAAAAAAAAGTACAATGTAAAACAATATTAACTAATTTATTAATATTTTTGTTATAAGTTTTAAAATATTATATAATTTATCATATATTATATTTGACATGTTTTACGGGTAAGAAAAATGAAATGAGTTTGTAACATGAAAAATAATATATTTATTAAAGCAAACCTATTTTTTTATTTAAAAAATTTTAATTTAAAATCTAAGGACACTAAAAACATACCAATGTTTTTTTCGCAAAATTCAAATAAATTTGAAAACAATAATTAGAATAAGATGAGAAGATGAGATCCATAGGACTTGTTTGGTTAGTAACCTGCATTGTTTCTTATTTCTTATTTTCATATTCACTAAATGAATATGCAATTGGTAGACAGATTTATTTTGTAAAATTGATTCTGAAAACAACGTTTTACTATACTTTAAGAGTTTTCAGATTTTGAATTTGAATTTAAAATGCATAATTACATTAAAAAAAGATAAAAACTTTTATAAATATTTTATTTCATGTTATAAACTCTTTTTTTTTAAATTAAAACATGTAAAATATAAAAATATTGTAAATTATATAATATTGTAAAATAATAATTATTAAAATTTTTAACTAAATCTTGATAAATTAATTAATATTATTTAGATTGAACTAAATATTTAATTGGTAAGTACAACTAGTTACAAATATATTTCTAAACACCAATTCAACAATTTTTTAAATTGAAATTCAATTTCTAAATGTACTACTAAACACATATCTGAAAATACTAAAAACAAAAAATACAACTCTTTTTTTATTGAATCTCTTGTTTTCAGATTTATGTTTTTTCCCATTAAAATACAACTCTATTTTCTGGCCAACCAAACACAAGTTTAACAAACTGAAACTTAACCTACTATATTCTGCTCAACCAAACAAACTCATACTTAATAAACCCAGGTTTAACAAACATCTTCAATCCTGCAAACCAAACATCCCCTAAGCTAATTATGACTTAGTTAAGCGACAAGAATCGCCTAGCAATACTCGACAATCCTCAAAAGCTAATTTTGATCCCGTTAAAAATCATAACTCATCCTAGTAAGGTTCCAACTCAGTTTAAAAGCAAGACAATCAAGTAGCCGAGAACCAATACGATGAAAAATTATGTGATGACATGTTTGAAGGATCTTAGCCCAGTGTAGAAGCAATGTTGAGTCGTGGGACTTGGCCTAGAGTAGTGGCAAGCCGACTAGAGTCGTGATCAAGCCAACATGCATGCACAAGCGACATGCATGGCAAGGAAAAGTCAAGTTGCGCACATAGTTATAAACACTTGGCTTGAGACTAATCCAACGACGAACGAGAAGATGCTCATTAGTTAAAGTGAATGTCCAAGACGACTTCATGATGCAAATAGGAAAATGCTCGGTTGAAGAAGAGGAAACAAACCTCGCCTATAATTCAACAAAGTTAAAATGTACAAGAACCAAAATGTTATGAGATAAATGACTAATGGTATATTCTATTTTAACCTATAAAAGCATGTCAATACTGCAAAACAAAAATAGAAAATAAAAAGCACAGAAAAGGCAAAACCTATGAAAAGTGTCTCCCAATTCCTTTTATGTACAAAAAGCTAACCAATCAAAGGTGGAATTTCTTATTTTTCAATCATTACTATAATTCAGCTCCCTACAAGGTAATGGTGAAAGAAAATACATATTTGGGGGAAAGAATCAGTTGCAATTTACATGAAGAATCGTAGAAGTAGAAAGAATGGAGAGAATTTTTGCAGCCTCCTAAGAAAAAAAAGTAACTAAATCTCACATCTAATCGAACCTCTAACCTCTGTTTCATGGTTATTAATTACCCGTGGATGTTGCACTGTTGCAAATATGGGTTGTTGAAGTCCATGTGTCTGCTCCAAAAATATTTGTACTCTCCGAATCCAATGTCTAACCATGGCTTCCGAACACCGTCGTAGTGTATAACGGCTGCCTTCTCGATAGTGTCTGGTGGCACTGTAGAGTCGTGGCCGAGTCCAAGCAGATGCCACCGCTGCTCCAAGGCCGTGGTCTGGTTATAAAATGTGATCCACCCCAAAGGCAAGCTTCCACCCTTCAAGATCGGCCGTTCATTATTCTGCATGCATATAGCTGTGAGGAATGGGGGAATGTGCATTTGAAAACCAACTATGAACAACAATAGAGATTAAAACAATAATCTTTTTGTAGTATCTCTAAAGACTTCTATTCGTTTAAATGATTTTTTTTAATGAGAAACAAACTTTTCACTGATATAGGAAAGGAAAAAAAATGTTCAAGGATACAAATTTCTTGGGAGTGAAGAGATTACAAAAAAAAAACAGAGAAATAAAGAACAATTGACATACAAGAGAAATAAAATATTCATAAACAAAATATCTTAAAGAGAACAACAGACTAATGAATTATAGTTTTAAAATACTACAAGCATAAAGTATTTTATAAATCGAAATAACGAAGTATACAACTATTTTTGTATGAAAGGCTCTTCAAAAGATCTATCGCTAAAACAGGTGATAATCATTGGCCCATTAGCTTGATGAATGGAGTCTAAAATTTCAGTAGAAGTTCTCATGGAAAGAATCCAAAAACTCCTCCAAAACACAGATTCAGATAACCAACAAAGACAGACAAATTATTCATGCAGTTCTAATCACAAATGAAGTGGTGGAACAAAAGAGAGATAGAAAAAGGGTGGGGGTCATCAAATTTGTTCTTGAAAAAGCCCGTGAAAGAGTGGATTGTCAGTTTTTTTGACAAGATATTGGAAGGAAAAGGATTTTGTAAAAAAAAGAGAAGGTGGATAAGAGGATGCATTACCGATACTTCTTTCCATCTTTCTTAATGGGAAGCAAAGGTTGAAATTAAAATCTTTCAAAGGATTTATAGTACTGTAGCTGAATCAATGTGGACCAGAGTTAAAAGCTAAAGTAGAATCTTTCAAGTGCAAAGTGGGAGATTGGCCTATGACTAATCGGCTACTGTTGGGAGGGAATCTAACAAAATTGACTTCTGGGATCCCATCATCGATATAGAGTGCAGTAGAAAGTTGATGAATGGAGGAAAATTTTAATGTCTAATGGAGGTGATAACCCCTTATCAACTCAGTTTAGCCTCGCTTCCCTATTTACTACATGTCCTTGTTCAAAGTATCTTGAAATGTAGTCAATATCTTGGAAAAGGCTTTGAGAGACTTCCTTTCACCCTCTTGCTCTATAATTTTAATGTCTAATGGAAAAGGCATACAAAAAACAAGCCCACTGTGGGGCACCGCATACAAGATCTTGCTCTACAACTCACTTTCGGTCAAGTTTTTATAAATCATGGTAGTACCAGCTCCGTTAGTTGTCACATTCCAAGATAACGTATTTAGGGCCGGGTTGATGGCAATAGGATGTGCAAGCCCAACGCGATATGTCACAGCTAGTTATACTTGGAATAGCTCCCTTTTTGGCAAGCAGGGCCTTATGTTTTGTCCTCAAACCCTTGCTATCTTCCAATGGGCTCAACTTTGATTTCCTCCTTCAACCCACTGATGACTTGACACTCCAAAATGAGCTCTAACAACTTTGATAGTGGAGCAACAAACAAACAATGATACTCTTGAAGGTGGTTTTGGAAGAAAAACAAACAAAGTTTCCCATGACGTCACCTCCTGAATTAGTTGAAATATTTTGAGTAACAAATAACAAAATTTGTCCCAACATCTTATAGAATGCTGTCCTTCAATCCATTGATGCCAAGATCACACTCTCCATCTAAACAAAGTACAAAGTCTCAAGTTTTTCTGCTATTGTAACCGATTTATCACAAATAACGTTCAACCCTAGGCAACCAACCATCAGGATTTGTTCCATAAAGAATTGGTACCTCTAACTTCTTTAAACAAATATCCATAAGATTCAAGAGAAGTATAGAATTAGGGAAAGATTGAAGAGTACCCCTTACTCTCCCAAGTTCCAGCTAACACACCAAAAGAGTTCCCCTTGCCATGATCCTCCTCCATCTTCTCCACAACAACTGAGATCTTCTCCAAGATACTTCTCAGTTGTTCTGTACGCCAAATTCCCTCCAACTTCTTGATGAACTCCATCTTGCTATCAAGTGATAAGTTCAACTCCCCACTCAACTCAACAAGCTCTTTCTCATTTAGTCCTTCCTCTCCACAGAATATGGAAAATTGGTGGGGCTTAATCCAAGTTTTCCTTCTTTTATCGGGCCTTTCTTTGAATACAGTCAAGACTGCAGTGATTAGGGTAAACTGTAGTGCTTCAGAGGTCAACTTTTGGGCAGATTCTTTTGGGGGTAAGGCAGATTCTTTTCCCTTCATTTATTTGGGTTTCCCCCTGGGAGGTAACCATCGGGCACCTAGCTTTTGGGATGTCGTGGTAGACAAAATACACAAAAGGCTACAGAAATGAAAAACTTTGCTTTTATCGAAGGGGGGCGCCTTACTTTGGCTCAGGCGGTCTTGAATAGCATACCCGTTTGTTTCTTTTCCATCTTTATAGCCTTGTCAGTGACAAAGACGATGGAGAAAATCATGCGGGACTTTATATGGAATGGTGGAAAAAAGAGATCAATTGGGAACCTAGTGAAATGGTCATGGACCACTTTGCCTAACCAATAGGGAGGTCTAGGGATAGGCTCTCTAAACCTTAGGAATAAAGCTCTCCTCATGAAGTGGTTGTGGCATTTTGCAACTGAAAAAGATTGCTTCTTGAGGAAGATTATAGCCTCCATCTATGGAGAAGAGCTTTTCGGGTCATTGTCCAAGCCCTCCAAAAACTCATCTATAGGCAGACCGTGGATTGAGATTCAAGGAACTAGTATGGCCTTTAGCAACCTTACTTTATTCAAGGTAAATTCAGGCGTGTCAGTGAGATTTTGGGAAGATAGATGGATTGATTCTTCTCCCCTTTGCTTTATCTTTTCCAGATTTGTACGCCATCTCCTCCAAAAAACAACAATCAGTAGCAGATTGCTGGATCTCAGAGGCCATGACTTGGGATATCGGTATGAGACGGAATCTCTTTGATAGAAAGCTTGATAGGCGGGCTACCTTTACTGAAAAGCTGGATGGGGTGGTGATTGGCCAAGGAAGGGATACCATCTGGTGGAAAGCAGACAGCAAGGGCTCTTTTACAGCAAATTCAGCCTTTCTTGCAATCACTTCTCCTTCTCCCAAGCTGACTTCCGCAACAGCTTCCCTTATTTGGAACTTTAGGGTCCTGAAAAAGGTTTTTTCCTTTGGACTCTCTACTACAAAAGTATAAATACAGCGGAGAGTTACCACATTGGTCTCTCTCTCCATCCATTTGTGGCTTATGTGTTAAGGCAGCGGAAATGGTGGATCATCTTTTTCTTCATTGTTCTTTTGCGACTCGGGCTTAGCACTACATAGCTTCTCTCCTAGACTTGCTTTTTGTTTACCTAAGAAAGTGGATGATTTCATTGCTGAAGGCTTTGGTGGCTCCACTCAAAGGAAAAGCCTACGTCTTTTGAAATTGTGCTGCAAGGGCTCTACTTTAGCTTCTTTGGAAGGAAAGGAACAGTGGACTTTTTGAGAAAAAAGAGACCCCTTTTGATTCTTTTTGTGTGAATATTAAGCATACAGCTTCTTGGTGGGCTTCTATCCACAAGAAGAGTTTTTGTAACTATGGCTTCTTTTTTATTCTGCAAAGTTGGAATTCCGTGATTGTATAGATCTTTAAGGGAGGGTTCTCTCTACCCCTCTGCCTCTAGGTTGTTTTTGTGTCTTAGCTTTGGGCCCTTATTACTTTTCAATACATTTCCTTTGTTTCTTATAAAAAAAAAAAGAAGTTTAGATTGAAGGAGAGAAGTATAGCCACTGTACCAAGGTAAGTTTCAAGCTCTTTCTCATTTGTACTTTAACTCCCACCATTTTCTCTTTCACAGCATAAGTATGATCTCTATTGTTATTTTCTTGTTAGTGACCAGTCCCTAGAATCGAACAACTCTAGTAACACTTTTGCTTAAGGCTGAAGCCTGCTATTATTTTGAAAGTAAATAGAGAAGTATAAAATTAGGGAAAATTCAAGAGCTCCTCTTGCTCTCCCTACTAGCTAACACATCAAATGCATACTTCCCTCTTCTAACAAGGATCCTAAATAGCCACCATATACATCCACGTTTTGTCTTCTTTTTTTTTTTGATAACGGGGAGTCGCAGTATTGCTCCCCTATACCCAGGGGCACGAGCAACCGCACCCGCTCTAAGGCCTAGACCTGGGAGACATTAAGGGTTTTTGGTATTAAGCTCACCAAAAAATTCAAACTTGAGACCTCTAAGCCAATATGATCAAGAGACCTCAAACCTTTGCCAACTAGGCTACCTCTTGGGAACATATCCACGTTTTGTTTTATGCCTAACTATTAGTTTAAAAAGAAAACGATACGCTTTACATTATGCAGACTCATTAATCCTCCAATCGATATTCTGGTGTCCTAGGCGTACAGGAACCACACCTGAAAGTCTTCTTCGGATTCTGCTCTCGCAATTCTCAAAGTACAAAGTTTTCCCAATCAATGGATATCTCTTTGAGAAGATGGAAAGCCCTTTCAAGAGCCTGAGAGAGGGATCCAGAATCTGAGGAAGCGACTGGAAGGGAAGCAACTGGCCCCGACTGCTGATCTTCCGAGAATGCCGTGTCGTCCAGCAAAGCCTAGAAGAAGGTGACTCGCACAGACAGCTGACTCGTTTTCAATAGAAAGGAATAGCTTATCGAATCAGTTGCGACACGGATGGGAATGCAGATGTCCTTTCATAGATTCTCAAACCTTCGACAGAAGAAATCAACTCTCCTTTTAAGATTTGCATTAATAGTAGAGGGCCTACCAAAAAAACCTTTGCTCTCCTATCTCTCCTTTTATAGGAAATAAATATTCTAATATGAAATACACAAAAGAGAACTTTGCTCTACCATCAAAATGCCTTTGGGAATATCCTTCAGGGGAAAGAGAAAAAAAAAAGCCTTTGGCATTGGGCATACCAAGTAATGGATCATTTATTCTTATGTTGTGAATTAATAGCAAATGATGGTATTTCCTATTCAAAAGGTTTGGCATTCAGTGGTGCCTCCCAAGAACCATTCAAAATACTTTGTAGATGATGACACTATCTGGGAGAAGGTGAATGTATTTGCTTCGGATTGGAGCTCCTTTTTTAAAGAGTTCTATGATTTTCCCCTTTTGATCATTTATACCAATTTGAGCACTTTTATGTAAGCTCATTGGCAGCTTTTGGGGATTTCTTACCCTCTTTTGTATTCTTTCATTACTAATGAAAGTAACTCTTATTTTAAAAAGTAAAAATAAAAATCAAAGGTTCGATATAAATATAACCTACAAAGAAAGCTACAAGAGTATTGGACTATAAAATTTAGCTTGCCCTGTTCTAAAGGACTATCACAAGCCAGCATATTGCCGTAGGGGAGTACCAGTAAAGGTTAAAATGACCAAATAAGTATTCCAACCCTTAGTTGCAAAAGAACATTGAAAGAAGAGATGATTTTGGTCTTGAATTTACAAATAAAGCACCATTTTGGGGACACAGAATAGTTGGGAAACTGATAGAACCCAAAATATATTGAAATATAAAAAATATACGAGCTATAATATAATCCCAAGTATTAGAGGTACTTGGACCTTTCCTCTCTTCAGATATCACTCGAGACTAAACCTAAATCAATGCTTGCCTTCCTCAATTCCCACTCCCTCTATCTATAACAAATCTCCAAATAACTTCCCCAACTAATTACTAATATACCCTTACTATTCTATTAATCCCCCTAAATACCTTTAAAGGTCATTCCTGTCAGAAACCTTTGCCAAACTTTGTTGCAAGTGCTCAAGTGGTCTTGGACAAGGACCCAAGAAAAATAAATTTCACCTTTTTTTAGAAACTTTGGCTTTCCATTTAGCCTTGAGCCAACAGTTTTCAATAAGTCCATCCATATCAAAAAGGGACGTAACAAGGACTACAAGTAAAGGAGCCACAGAAGTCCAGAATTTACCTTTTAGAATCCAGAGGAATGATAAAAAGCAACACCTGGAAGTAGGTTCAATAGAATACCACATTCAATAAATAGCCCAAGTCGTTAAGCTTCCTGATATAATCAAGGTTTCAACCTGCAAGTCCTCATTACTCAGAGACTAGCATTGGTTGGCAGAATAATTTCAAGAGTTCATAATTCTGTGAAGTCTACGAAAGCAACCGGAGAGAACTATCAACTATCATTATTCAGGATGAATCCAGAGATCCTTCCAGAACAAAATTCCATTATTTTTACCAAGCTTGCACCTATGCTATTTATCTACGTGCAGACAGCATTTTTTACTGTAAGGTCATGGGTTTCTTGTCGGTACACCATTTTGGACAAGCAAGCCAAACCACTAAGAACAATAGAATATTTGCTAACAATGGCTTTCCTCCATAAAGCATTAGTTTCCATCATAAACTTCCAACTCCATTTAGCAAGAAAGGCAAGATTCCTCTTTTTGAAGTTACCACTTACAAAGGCCACCTTGACCCAGAGGCAAGGAGACTCGACCCTAATGGGCTGTTTCTCTCCCTTAGAAGTTAATAATCGAACTCTCCAAGGTCTAAGCAACTTTGGAAGAAATCTTAAGAATAAGTTGAACGAAAATGGAGATCCTAGATAGGGTAGCATTAGAGAGAGCGAGACTGCCACTTTAAGAGAGCAAAGTGCTCTTCCACTAAGAAATTTTTCTGGAAATTCTTTCTTCCACCAGTTTCCAGAAATGAACATAGGATGCCTTCCTCTAAATGTCACTCCCAGGCTGAAAAGAGGCCAAGTCCCTCTATACACCCCAAATATTAAGCTTTATTCTGGGCTGAATAATTATCAATGTTTATGCTAATGAAGGTGGATTTGGGAAAATTAACCTTGAGACTTGAGATTAATTTGAAGAGGTTCAGTACCTTAAGAAGATTATTGAGCTTGTTATAATTGCTTTAGATATAAAAGGGTGTCATTAACGAATATAAGAGGGTTGACTGAAGATTGTGAGTACATCCACCAGCATCCACCATCTATTGGTTTGAGACTTTGAGAGAACTCTCTTGGTCTTTTCCATTTAAAAAAGGGTGTTTGAAATGCAGCCACAGATCCATGAAATCTACTTGGACCAAAAGCCTTTCTTGAGATGCACTTCCAATAAGAATCCCAATCTACCATGTTGTGAGCTTTAGCAAAATCAATCTTTATTACTCATCCCTTCTTGTTCTCCTCGCCCTATAATCATCCATAATCTCATTGGCCAAAATGATGGAGTTTAGAATTTGCCTATTAGAGATATAGAAAAATCAATTAGAGTGAAGGCTTTCTTCAATCTAGAAGCTATTTTTCCAATTAGTTTAACACCTCATCCAATTAGTTTGTAGAGAAAAAAGTGACAAGGCTAATAGGATGGAAGGCAGTAACCTTGGAGGCCCTGATTTTCTTTGGAATAAGGCACGAGGAAGGGAGAAAGGAAGAATGAACAACCCATCCATTTGATCCTTGCATAACATCTTTTGAAATGTAACAAGTACCTGATTGATAAACTAAAACAGTACAGAAGTGGCTGGAGATAAGGTAGACTTAATTAACAAGAAATTAAGAATTATAATACCATACAGTAAAAGTAAATGGATATGAACTGTATCTATAAGAAATTTCACGGCCTAAGAAATCAGCAGGATACTGAAGACAGGAAGATATGATCAGTGTTTGATGGGTATATTCTTAACAAATGGAAATTCTTTTGTAGAGCATACTTTTTGCTCAAACCACAAGAAATTCTGTCTTCACAATTTGCAAGGCTCTTCTTTTGTAGTTTTTTGAGGGCAGGAGCTTCCTCTATCCCGGCACCAAGGCTGTTTTTCTCCCCATTTCTTTTGTTCTCATATATTATCTTTCTGTCTTTTTTTTTCCTCAGAGAGAGACAGAGACAGAGACAGAGAGAACCTTAACACGATAGAATTAGGCTGAAAAGTAGTAAACGTTAACAAGGTAGACAATGACTACTAATTTACAAACTGGTTAAAATAGTTGCATATCCAGGAAAAATAGCACGTAAATAAAGCAGGGACATCAATTTCCTTACCAATCGTAGATATTCATGGTAGAGTGCAGTTACACTTTCTTTCCTCCACCTTCCGAGATTGAAGAGGTTCATTCCAAATGCCCATGTGCATGCATTTTTGTTGAATTTATTAGCAATCAGTGGATCTGAGAAGTTGACAAACATATCCATCCGAAGAAAAGAAACTTCACTTTCTTGACAAGTTTCAACAGCAACATTTACCTTCCCCTTCATATCAACATCCCACAAACCAGATAGATCTTTTTGCACCACCACATCATGATCAAGAAGCACAACCTTACCCAATGAAGGGAAGATATTCGGCAGATAGAACCGAAGATAGTTGAGTTCAGAATTAAACCTTGGGTCACTAGAATTTTCCGTCTTCCATCCTAAACGATACTCCGTGGATAGCCATTTAAAATCTTCCATGCTCAGGACCTCGATTGTGGCTTTTCCGGGAGGATTTAGTAAGAACCACATGGACATTGCTGGTAAGTTCAATGAATTGGTCACCAAATGGAAGACAATTTTCTCGGGTTCCTGCCAATTTAAAACAAACAATTACAAGTATTTTCAGAGAAACTGTCCCTAATAAGTAATAACCATTTTAAAACTGTGTGAAGAGATCACATCCAGACAATATACAACCTTGAGAATTCCCAGTACATATCAAGAACTAGAATCTTTGAGACTTTATATTCTAATTGAGGTAAAAATAATAACGTTGATTGTGATGCTCAAAGGGGAAAATCATGGATACCTTAGCACTTGAAATAGTGGAGTTTACAACAACTGCACAAGCCAAAACATTGTCAGAGAAGACAGCATAATGATGCAACTTAGAATCATGCAACTTCTGCTGTTCAAGCAGCTGCCTCTCTGAAGGTTGCAAAGCAAAATATTCAGAAGTCAATCGCATTGACAGACAATGAAAGCCTTTAGGGGTGGTTCTTGCGGCAAGATTAAGAAGGTAAGCAGCTTGTTTCTTTTGCGTACGAACTTGCTCTTCAGCATTTTCAGTCATAGCTCGAAGCTTTGAAGCCATAGCTGAGCAGTCTGGGAAAGCATGGCCCGCTTTTACTAATGAAGACTCCATATTTTTCATTTTCTGCAGAGCACTACAAATTTAACTGGGTTTTAGATGAAACTCCACCAGTTTAGCTTCTCTTCTAACAAAAAGCTGATATCATTTTCCGTACACTAATGTAGCTCCTAGACATTAAAGCAACCATTCTGCTTTTTCTTCATCATTTTTCAAGATTTCTTTCAAACTATCCCAAAAAAATGCTAAAATGGCAATGAAATTACTATTTACCTCTTTGTCAGAGCTGAATCCATAGTAGCTTCATCAACTGCATGTTCTAACTCTTTGATTCGTTGCCTTAACTCTTTCATCAGGTGAGAATTACTACTGGGTGGGGCAAAACTTAGGTAGGCTTTGGCTCTTATTAGTTGATCTTTGATCTCCTTTACCTTAGAATCTATAGTTCTAGACTTAGGTACATTCTTATCACGCTTCACAGCACTCCGATTCAATTGCTGATGTTTTTTCTCTATCTCCACATCTCTCACTCCCCTTGACTGAGAATGCACAGAATTATCATGTCGTTCTGTTGCCTTAGAAGACTGTTTCTGCAATCAAAAATTTAAAACCAATATTAAGCTGAAGTTAGATATTTATTCTTTTCAGTTCACACATGCTAGAGACTAAATTCACTGTTGCAGAACATTTGTGCTTCTAATGGTTCGATTGGGAACATAATAACAACATAAGTGAGGAACAAGAGTTGAATAACATAAGAAGAGCAATATGTTCATGGATGATGTTGCCACCACTTATACAGAAATTTGAATGTTGACAACCAAAAATTCAGTTTTATGCATTGCAGTTAAGTATTGCACATAGTGATTCGTTCAAATCAAAAAAATAATATGCACTCTTGACCATGCTCAACAAATTCAAACTTGATGCTCATTATTTCTGCTGGTGATATGACCAAAAGGACATTAGATTTTTAGAAAATTACAGATTACACGCTTAAACGGTAAAAAATTTGCCATCAGATGCACCATATTAAGGAGATTATTACTGTAGAATAAATATTTTTAATCAATTAACCAAAACATACCATACATCATGAACAGATCAAACTTATATGAAGGCTTCAGAATATTCAGCATCATTGAATCGAATAAAAGATCTTTAAATTGACATAGCTTAAACACATTGTAAAAAAAGTTAGTAAAAGATCTTTAAATTGACAGTTTATTCATAAAATAAAAAAATAAAAAAAAAACCAGACTTTTTGTTCAAAAAACAATTGGGCTAGATAAGAAATTCAACTTCAAATTATCAACACATGCAAGCAGCCAAATGTACGAGTATACTGACAAAACCGGAACTCAAGGGAAGACCCTATCAATTAGAAGAAAACCTCCGACTTCATAATGAGAGAGAGGTTTCTTTCGTCAAGGAAGCCTATTTAGAAACATTACAATAAACTTTAATCCAAGTATCAATAATTTCTCTAGTTTTATATTTAAAAGTGCATGTATTCCTTCATATTTATACCTTCCAAAAGAAACCAAACCATGAGTCCAATAATCCATAAAGTATTTTCCTTGCTTCTAAAAAGATGTAATTATATCAGAAGCTGTAGCATACTCAAAATTAAATTTAAAAACAGTAAAATTCATTTGCAACTCCTAAAATAAGATCGTAAACAAAAGTTTTGCAATTATCAACAATGGCAAGTTTCTCAAGAAATTGTTTTGCACCAGGATAGTGATCATTGCATTGAAGAATGAAACAAAAAATCTACGAAACTAAGGCATTACACTCCTAGTATAGCCTAACGTCACACATATACATTTCAAATATCATTGGGAGGTGGCAAGTCTAATTGGTCACCGAGAATCAAAAGCATTTGTGGAAGTGGAACAGAGTACCTTTTCCCCACCCTCGAACCGTTTATCCTCATTTCCCTTACTGGGTTCACTTCCTGAAGTTCAAATGGACTATTTTAGAATAAGGCAAAATAAATAAAAGAAATGAGAACTGTAGGGGGAGATTAAGATACAAAGAAAAACACTTACTGAAATTAAGGGAGTTAATTCCTTCTCTAGAATGGAAATCTATATCTTCGAAAACAACAGGTTTAGGCTCTTTCAAGCCTTCACCCGCTTCCTTCATGACAATGACAGTATAGATCAAATTCACTAACCATAGAGTTCAAAACATCCTAGTGGCAGAGTAGTATATAAGTCAAAATACCTGTCTGATTGAATGAAGTGCTTCAACATCAATCCGCTTCTGCAAAGAACAATATTACAAGAGGAAAAATAAGAAAAAAAAAACGCCTTCAATCTTGTTATAACATTCATCGTTATCAAACTCCATTCCAACACTACGAAGCATCACATACGATTAAAACTATCTCACCGAAAACGAAAAAAAATTCCCAGTGAAGGAATAACAACTAAGCCTACGCCAAAGCCAAAAACCACTAGACGCCAACATTTCTCTCATTTCAGTAAAATCGTTTTCCTCAGAAACTAAAAACAGAATCCATAACCAAAAACCAAGATAACAAAAAATAGCCATACCTTGCTTGATATATCCTCGATGAAATCCCGGCGCCCTGAATCAGAACAACCAACCAACAACCCAAATCAATCAAACCCAGAACCAAGAACAAAAAAATACATGGAGACTCCAATAGAGTAGTGAAACGGACCAAAAGAAGTGATCGTCTTGAGGCGTTGAGAAACGAGAACCAAAGGAGCAAGAACAGAGAGAGAGAGCAGAGAGAGGATCAGAATCCTCTGGCATCGACGAAGAAGCTTCATCAACGCCCTTTCCTACACTGGGAAAACCGATCCCGACCCAAGATTCCTCAGAAAAACCATAAAAAAACACATTCAAACTCTGCTGCCGGCGGAGGGAATTGATTCGCGGGATTGCTTCAACAATACGGAATACCAGAGGGAGGAGGAAAAAGGGGGGAAAGGGAAGAAGTTGCTCTAGGGTTTAGGGTCAAGCATTACAAAATTCCCTCCCCCTTCTTTAATCGCTGTAGAGAGAGAGAGAGAAATGTAGAGAGAGAAAGAGAGAGAGAATGGAGAGAAGAAGAAGAAGAAGAAGCTTGCTCTCGGCCATGTTCGGCTGGCTCTGTATGTGTGTTTTGTGTGAGAAGTTTTTTCTTTTTTCTTTTTTTTTTTATCTATTTTTTATTTTTATTTTTATTTATCATAATTTCTTTTTTTATTTAAGGAATTTTAAAACAATTTCAAATCTGTCATTTTTATACTCTGATGCGGACAGTGGTGGGCCATGCTTGAAAAATATAATAACAATATTATTCTTATTATGGAAAAATTTTCAAGAACTTAGATTTTGTAAATACTTTTTAACGTTGGTAAACTTCGCATCATTCCACGAATAGTGCATGAAATAAGTGTCTATGTTCTAATAGTGTCGTAATAATTCTAATGTTAAAATATTCATTCCATGGTTCATTATCGTCTAACAATTTTAATTTAAAAAAATATGCAATGTGGATGTGTTTTTCATATTTTTAGAGGAAAGATTGATAGAGGCAGTGAGATAGGGTCGAACTAATTTTAAGATTTATTAAGAGTAGATGGACTGGATATTTAAAATACAATAATTAAAATAAAACAAATTTCAAAATAGTGAGACGAAATAAAAATATAACATAATCTTAAAGAAAAATTATTATGGTAGTTGGCTATAATTTAGTTTGGGTTCGAAAGTTTGAGTTTGATTTCAATTTGCAATTTCATTTATGAGTATAATTTTTAATTTGTTATTCTAAAAAAACTTGAAGTTGTTATTTTATTTTATGATTTTGTTAAGATCTCAAAAAATGTCAAATTGTGTGATGTACCACCAAAGGTCTAATAAGTTTTATTATATGTCACATCTTTTTGTCTGAAATATTTTTATTTGAATATGATTGAGAGGTTTGTTCTCAATAATAATAATAAAGAGGTTAATCAAAACGTACCTCGCCAACATGAATATATCTCAACAATTAAATTATATAACTTTTTTTTTCGGTGAGAAGTTTAAATTCTCAAACCTTTATAGTCGTACTACTAAAAAAAATGAGAACATGATTCAACAATTAAGATAAAGACAAATACTCGGTTCTATCTAACTCTTAGGATGTAAGGCTCTAAACCTCTACTCTCTGGATTTGAGTCCATGCAATGGCATGAGACATTTCTTTCTCATTAAAGAAAGAAAAAAAATCGAAGTCTCCCTCCACCACTCCTAATTATAATGCTATATTCTCTTCTTAAAAAAACAAACACAGAGAGAATGAAAGATTACAATGAATTGACATCCAAGTAAAACTAAGCATAAGAAAACTATCAACATTTGGAAAATCAAATTAATTTTTTTTAACACAACTTAGTATAACTAGGGAGATTGATTGGCTGATCCCAACCTCAAATAATATTTTCAACCAATTAAGTTATGTTCAGTCATCAAGATAACATGAACTTAACTCCTAAAAGTCGAAGATAAGAGGTTCAATCCTCATCCATGTTAGTTGTACTAAAAATAATTGATCTTTTTTCATTTTTTTTGTTCAACAATTGGGGGAGAGATTTTTTTTTTAGTACAACGTATCGAGGAGAGGATTCGAATTCACAACCTTTTAGTTGGAGATATATGTCAATTATCGTTGAGTTATGCTCATTTTGATAGTGGGGAGGAATTTAAACTTCAAACTTTCATGGAAATAAAATAAAATAATATGTTGACCAATCGAGCTATGTCGATGGCTCAAATATAGCTTACTTTATAATCTCTCTTAAATGCTGAGATTCCATATATATACATGGCAATTAAAAAGAATGGGAAATGAAAAAAAAAATATATTAAAATGGTAATTATGAGTTAATAAAGATGAAGGGGTGGGTAACGGTGGGACCCACACGAAATTCAACGGTTTTTCTAAGAAATTGTTAAGACTCATAGACCAGCGCACGTTGCGGAAGCTGAATGGGAAATGAAAGGGATTGGAAGAAAGAATAAGAAGGAAGACCCCATTGGGCATTTTTATTAAAAATGGAACATAAAATTTGATATAATATATTAATATTACATTTTTTTTAATTTTATTTTACTTTTTGTGAGATCGTTTGGTCAAAAGACGAGAGGATATATGTTCAACTATTCTCAAGTTAGCTACATAAATCTACTTAGATCAACTACAAATTTGGGTTTGATATAGTTTTTTTTTTTTTTTAAACATAGATACATTTAATTAGGAACTCAAAGTCACATGGGTATAGGAGGAGGAGACACATCAGTCTTTACAAGACGATAAAGCGTAAAAGAAAATGAAAAAACCCACAAATTGGAGGAACGAAAAAGAAGACCCAGACCGTCAGATGATCTACTGGGGCGGTTGTGTCAGCGAGAGGCATGGGTGAACTGATGAGAGTCCAAAAAGAGAGAAAGAATTTTGATGCCACGAATCCAGACACTTTCATCACCAAGGGAGTTCGATCTTCAGAAAGAAGGTTGATAGCTTCAAGGGAGTCCAATTCAACAACAATGCGCGAGTATCTAATAGATCGAGCCAGGCAAGGATAATCCCTTCAAGAATGGCGTGAAGTTCAAGCAGTGGGGTATAAGAAACCGGTAATAAAAGAGACTGAGCGATCACTATACAGTTGGAGGAGTCTCATAAGAGGAAGCCCAGATCTGTACCAGTTTCTTGGTCACCAAAAGCTGCATCAGTGTTCAATTTATAAAAACCACACGAAAGGGGAGACCATGAAGGTGAAAGCGAAGCATCTGAGGAGCAAGTTGAACCTGGGTTTGATATAATTTGACTAACAAGTTTAGTTTTAATTTGGTTCATTTGATTTTAAAAGTTTTGATTTTGTCATATAAGTTGTGGTTTAATTTTAATTTGGTCAAGACTAACAAATTATCTCTCAAGTAATTTTTACTAGATGTAAATTTCAATATAATTAATTAGCACAAATGACCAAATTAAAAAAATGAAAAACACACACTTATTATAATGTAAATAAAAAACGTGTATCGTATTTAATACAGTAATAATAGATACAATAATTTGAATGTCTTACGTGGTAGAAGGTTACTTTGTGCCTTAGTTAATTTTTTTTTTAAGTACAACAAATCTGATATACGAGAGTTTGAACCTCTCACCTCAAAAAGAAGAGTAAATGCCAATTACTGTTGGGATTTATTCATGTTGACATGACATGTCTTAACTATTTTTTTTTAGATAATATCTTGACTAGCTATAATAATAAATAAATAAGTCGATTGTAATTTTAAAATGTTTTTTTTAAGTAAATTTTACATTTACATGTATTTTAGGAAATAGAATTACCTATTTGAATTTATCTGCCATTTAATTCATTTCCTAATACAAGAGATGACTTTTTTTTTTTAATTGTACTAAAGATCATAAAATATTTATAAAAAAAAATATTACTCTTTACCTTTCCCAAAAATGTCATAATAGTAACTTTGGTCGGTCCCTCTTTTTTTTTTCTTTTAAATTTTGGTTGGCATCGTGATTATATAAGTTTGTAAATTATGTTATCTTTTTAAAATTTTAAACCTAATATTATAAATATAAATACGTAAATATTTTGTAATTTTTTTTAGACATGGTAAGAGATGACTTAAATAATGACATGTAAGTATTTAATTGTTTCAAAAAAAAAAAGACAGGTAAGTATTTAATATTCATTTAAGAACTGTAATTTTTTTAATCAAGTAGAATTTTTTAGTTTTTAAAGTTTCAGCCGAATTTTAAATCTGGAAATACTTTTTATTTCTAAAATCCGGCGAATATTTAAAAAAATCTAGAAAATATAAAAAGTCATCAACAAAAGCGTTTTGTTTTTAGTAAATGAAAACAATAAACAAAAAGGAAAAAACAAAAAAGAGTTACCGAACCAGCTATTTTTAGTAGAAAAATAACAAATAAAGCCAAACCAAAAAAGGAAAAAAAAAATAAAACACTAGGACTTCCTATCCTATCCTATCCAATTTTAAAAATATAAAACTCTTTTTAGCCTTTTGTTTTGCTTGAATTATAAATTTTATATGTATGGTCGGTTTAATAACTTCTTTTTCCTATTTAAAAACTTGATATTTATTGATATTTAAGGAGTATGAATGATTAACTTCGATCGCTACACACATTCCATGAATCTCATCTAGCATTCCACAATGATGATAGTGAGAAGTTGTGCAGTTATGGGACGGTTTTCACCCTTAAGCTACAGACTCTTCAACCTTGAAGATGAGACTCAAATGATAATCTATAGTTCAGACTTGCAAATCCAAACTACGGTAATCTCAGCATAACTCACCTCCAATCTTCAAGAGGCACGTGGCATATCAAAAATATGTCTCCTAGCAAAATATAAAACTCGAAAAAGAAAATAAACTAGAGCAGTAAATTTGTTGGGTTTCATGGACTTCCATCTCAAAACCAATTGACAATCATAGGAGTAGTTCATGTCTATTATAAATCATTGCTAGGTCACCTCTCTTTTCAATGTGGGATCCTTAACATGTCCTCTCAAGATCGTACCTTTTTTGGCTCGTTGATCTTGGTCGGATCCCCTTTTTTTTTTTGTTTTTACCAGATACTCGTTTGAGCTTTTGGACTATATATGATACCATGTTAAGAATGAATAAATCATCGCTCAACCCAAAAACTTAAGTTAATAGGTTAGGTAAATTTAATTCATTTATGGATATCTAACACGTAGAAGAGTACAATGATGCTCTCTAAGTGCTAGAAGTTGTTACTACAAGAAGATGATGTGTTCCAACCACTACAAAAGGACTCATGACCTTGGGTTTTAATAATCACAATTGAAATTATTTAAACCTGGTATACCAGTTCTAAATAATTGAGTAGTATTTGCTTTGAGAATAATTTTTCTCTGATATGGAGTTTTCCACGTTAGTTTCTTTCAATTTCTAAGTTATTTTATGTTTATTTATGCGGTAGAAGTAGAATATTTTTTCCCATCAAAATTAATCTCCCATCCTACTCGTGAAGCTAGATGAGAAAATGGTCTTTGTGTATCAATGAATGAGATTCTTTGAGATTTGCAGCTCTTCAGGCAAGGTGGTCGACGATGATGTTCT